CGGGCATCGAGGTTAGCGTCTCCCAACTTCCGTGATCGAATAACCAGGGAGAAAGGAAATAAGGCAGCCATGAGGGGGGGCAGCCCGGCAGCTGCCGGCCCATGAAAGGCCTGGACACAGCTCGCGCCCGAAACGAAGCGACGAGAACACGCGTGGGTTCGGTCAGGTATCGCGTTGTGTGATGTGTAGAAGGACCTCGGAGGAGGTGACTCACGTTGGCTCCGAACAGCATCAATCTCAGTGCCAAAGAGGCCTTTGCTGACCAGTCGCCGAAGGCTTCACCGGAGGATACAAGTCTCATGTCCGATCCCGCACTCCTGAAAACCTTGCGAAGTGCAGTGCCTTTGGTCCCCCGAATGTACGTGGCATGTGATCAGGGTCGCTGCCATCGGCAAAGCTGGTGAGCACATGGATGAAGGGAATGATCGTTATCGCCATAACCCCCGAGTTGGCGCAGCAGGTCGCGGAGTAGGCTGCTAAGTCCTGGTGCTGTCCCACGACGGAAGGGACAAACGGCCTTGAGGATGTCGTGGTCAGAGGGCTCGTTCGCAATCGGAGATTGGGGACGTTGGCTAGCTTCCTGCAAAGATGCCGGTGTCGGCAGTGTCGGGCGCAACACTTACGCTACCCAAACACTGCACCGTCTGTCCCGGCATGTGATTCACGAGCCACAGGCATCGCGATGACACCGCGACGGGCTGCAGCCGTGAGCTCACGGCAAAGCTCGATCCTCTTGCCAAGCAGACATTCGGCTATTGCCAGCGAAATCGCACGTCTGTACAGGGGCCACGCAAATGGTGCCCAAGGAAGGAGGAAGGGAGTTCCGCCGGAAGGTTCCGCACTCTCCGGAGTCGAAGGCTGCGTAACCCGGCTGCAGCGGCGTGCGATCCGGGGGAGGAAGCGAAGCAGCCTGGGACTGGGAAAAGCTCTGGCCCGCTGATGCCAACGCCCAGAGACTGTTGATCTATTTTGGTCTGTGGGCTCCCATGTCTCCGCTTGGAGATGGGTCAGGTCACGTCCAACGATATCAGACACGTCATGGCAGTCGGCGGACATCCGTGTTTTCGACAAGAAGAGCCTCTGATCAATTACTCTGATTGGTCCGTAGCGAGGGCTTTTGTAGCTTGATTCCTAGAGGACCAATAAATAAGGCGTTGCCTGGATTGCCTCTGAGCTGCAGCATTTTGACTGTAACGACCGCATTCCACGATTGGTACTCCTACCCGCCCTGCTGCCGAATGCCAAAGGCACACAGCTGCGACCCAGTGGTGAAGACCACGCCCATAATCCTGTTTCAGTGGTGCTTGCTTGCACATGCCGATCAGCAGGAGCGGCGAATTCAAGCCCGGCCTTGATGTAGGACTTGTGGATGAACCAAGTAGGGAACACCTTGCGAGTCGGCACCATCCAAAACAAACACGCGACACCACGAGCCCTGGCCCTGGCTGTCTCCTTTGCCACCACGGAGGTGATTGCAAGCCGGGATGCTGTAATCGTGAAGTTCAGCGGGTAGAGCAGCGCTTGGAAAGAAGTTGACCAGATCACATCTTGTGAACATCTCAGGTTGGTCACCTTCACCACTGCCAACAAATACCTCAGTTCCAATCGCCGCAGTCGGTCGTTGCCTATTCAGACCGGGAGCACACTGAAAATTCATGGACCCGGCACCTTATTTACAAGACATCTGCAGGTACCGACGCAGCTCTGCCAAACAACTTCAGGACCTCTCGGAGGGCTCGGCAAGAGACTTGGGAAGCCAAGTGTCAGCATGAAGGTAAGGACGAAGCACACGGCCATAACTGCAGCTACGACCTGGGCGGAGATCTTGGTCTTACTCTGGTCATTCAAGGCAAGAGTCGTTGTTCAACAACAGTCCGTTGGACTGAACATGACTTGCTGGGGCACTGGTGCCGCACCGGTGATGATGCCATTTTCAAGCACAATCCTCGGCAGGCTCGCAAAAGCCACTTGTGGCAAACATGCCCAGTGCGCCACAGACCACCATCAAAAAAATCACAAACGCCTGCACAGAACAGTCTTGGCGCGTGTTCTTCGCCAGTGTAGAGCAGTCCACCACCACCAAGCCGGCGGCCAACACCCAGCTATACGGAAGGGCCTGAGAGTCACGCAAGGCTGTAGGCTGCAGGAGATCATGGTTCAATATGGTCTGCACCGGATGCGGCCTTCCCCAACCACTTCGCGAAATTGAAGTTTCGGAGGCTGGCCGTTGCTAGTGTGGCAGCTATTTGCACTTCGACAAGGCCTCAGCTTTGTGCATCGCTGGTGTCTGAGTGTCATGCTGTCGCAGAAACATTCACAAGTTTAAGTGATCCAAGCAGCACAGCGTGATCAGACAGTAATGTACACCAGCACGGATGTAGAAAGCCTCTGCAGCAACACCGTGGGATCGATCAGGTCATGGTGTGCGTGTGAACGACTCACCAGTTGGAGTCCAAGACTCTATCTGCAAAGATGGTGGCGGCAAGCCCAACAAGTCTTGAGAGACCCTTAGCACCAGGGGGGCATGAGATGCAGTTGCAGTTCATTCTCGTAGCTACAATGGCCAGCCGGATGCAAAGCAGCTTGTCCAGCACGCATGAGGTTATCATAAGTACGAAGCGCAGCGTGGCTCAACGCTGTTCTCTGCACATAGCGTCGTCCCTCCTCCTCGCCATGTCCCTGCCTACCTGTGATGCAGCAACGAGGTCGAGGACCGCTCCTTCAGAAAGCAGCTCTTGTTGCGGTCTCACGCTCTCTTCCTCCGCGCAACCCTCGCCTCTCTACCTGAGCAACCTCAACGGCCGACCATGGGGGACATAGTGACATGGCCACTACAGTCAACGGTCAGCAGTCTGTCTTGCGTGGACACGCTGCTGCTTGCCCACGCTCTTCAAGGGAACTTGGAGATTGCACTTCTTGAAACCATTAGGTGGACGGAATAGACCATCCAATCGGCTTCCCTCCTGCTTTGGTGCTTGGTCTCTTTCCTTGCTCCTCTTCCTTCCTTTCTCATCCTTTCTCTCATTTCGGTAAGAACATGGGGACAGCGTCTCTCCCTCTTCCTCTTAGCGCACCACACGACATGCGCAGCGCTGTCAAACAAAACTGAGTGCTGCGTAGCTGCTGCGAGAACATGAGCTGGATGGTCGCATGTGCCTCAACAGCCATGACATCTGACTGCCCGACGGTGTCATCAAGTCTGCCCCGAAGGGCATGTCGGAATATGGGGCTCGATACACATCCCAAGATATCTTCACGGGTGTCTTCACGGTGTCGAATCTTCTTTCATACTACGATCTGCGAATACTCGAGACGCCCTACAAGCGACAGCTGAGATCTCGACAAGATCCGCGGCGCCCAAGTGCCACAGTCTCAGCAGAACGCAAGCAGCATTGACCAACAACATACAACTTGCACATCCAGCAACCTGTTGATGGGCCTCTTGTCGCTTAGACACTCAGTCATGAACCATGAAGCTCTACAAAGTGCAACTGTATCCGTGCGGTAAGTGAGCACGAGTTGCAGGGCACTGCCGAGTCGAATGAGAATGAGGGGTCTCTTCTCTCTTCACCATCCGAACTGGGAAGCCCCTACTGCGCTGGACACCCTCACCGAGGCAACAAGGAGATTCGGTCGGTCCAATTCCTGCTTCTTTGCGAAACTATTGATCTTCTCAGCTGCCCGGCAATCATGAAAGACAGACTGGGGCTACCGACTGCCTGCTCGAAAGGAGCATGGAGCATGGTGCACAAGCCTGTGCAGCAGGGCTACGAGAAAGGTTTCTGAGATCATTGTGCAGTTGCCAAATGGCAGCTTGTGGATACTGTGACTCGTGTTGGTCTTGCTCATGACGCAGACCTGTGACTAAACAGGTAGCATAATTACATGTTCTCGTAGTCGTAGCAGCTACGGCGGTGGAGGCGCTGGTATGGCCATGCCGCTTGCGATAGAAGCTTCGCAAGGAGTGTCGTGCAGACAGCTCCTGAATTCTCGACCAGATTTAAGAAATTTAAGATCGTCAGGCCCTGAACGACGAGCGTGTTAGCGATTGTCGCACCGCTGCCTTCATCAGCCATGCGCTGCTCAGCACGCTCGCCTTGAAGGCAGATAAGGACACATACTGGGAAACTCTTGCCCTGCATAATCTGCATATGTACGGCTGCTATCAGTAGAGCCTGTTTGTCTAGGGCGGGAAATTTGGGTTCGCGGTATCCGACTGAAGCGGCCTGGGGCAGCCACAGCTACATGTCACGTCAATCTCGCAGTAGCTTCGGCGCTGATGCTGTTTGATGAAAAAAGGCCATCTGAACATGGCATGAGGTCAGTGCTGTGCGCTCACAACAGCACCTCACAGCCATCGGCCATCGCAGCCCGCTGTCCTTCTGGAGACAGCACGCCAGGCTACCCCTTCGTGAGTCTGCAGCCCAGGGGCCAGCAAGGCGGAAAATTCCACCCAGGGCCCTAGAGACCAGCCGTCGTCCATGGCTGAAATTCACGCGAACATGTCGCCAAGTGCAACGAGATCTAGCCTCGTTCAGTCAGCTGCGCTGAGAGACTATGACTTTAAGTGTTTTGAGTGGCAAGCATCAAGAGGTAAAGGCAAGATGCGTAAAGAATGGATCTCGTTGCACCCAGCCTAAAGAGATCTCTTTGGAGTCCCTTCGCAAAAGAGGTCCGCGGAAAAGCTTCAAGATTCAGACGTATGCTACACTGCTACACTGGCATGCCAGCTTTGATACTTGGCGGGATTGGGGTTGACCCTGTCTTGTAGAGGTAGTTCATCACCATGAACTTTTGATGACTCTCCATTGTCTTTCCGATCTTGTCAACGGATCAGCCCAGCTGTTTTCGGGCCGGGCCCAAGCACGTCGAGCCGATCGGTGCAACATCCTTCTGCCGAACACTGCGTGCTGTCACTTCCATGAGTTACGTTGACCCTTACATGAGAACCCTTAACCCTACATAGCCGAGTCCAATTGAGCGACCGAGGGCCCGCCGGCCTCAGAATGCTGGCATAGGTCCGTGACTTCTGATAACAGCGATTGAAGCTGTTCCCTCCTCGGAGCACCGCAGCCATGCGCAATCAACTTTGCTGTTACTCTCAGCGAATCTTGCGCCTGGTCTCGCCTCTCAGTCTGGGGTTGTGGCAGTCGATGCTCTGCGGCAACATGTCTGGTATTCTTCTCTCGCAATTCCTGGCACGGCCGCAGGCCCAACACCCACCAACGCCACGAGTACATGCACTGACTTCAATGTCTTCCAAAAAGACCATTGCCTGCGTTTGCATCCGCAGGGTTGCCATCGCTGCAGCTTCCCCGGCAAGGGGCCTCCATCAAGATTGCTGCTGGTGCGGCGTTGATGCTAAACTGACTTCCATGGATCTGCAATGAGGCATTGGCGCTTCGTACTCTTGCCAAACTTCAGAAGCCTGCATTCGGACAAGCTCCCCATTCCAGCTGATGCCCTGGGAGATTGGAATCTCACTTCCTGCACTTGAACTAGTATCAATCTTCATGCAGACGTCCTGAGTCTTGGCCCCATGAAGCTCGAGGGCCAAAGCTGCAGCCTAGGTTCGCATTTCCTATGCATCATCTTGTCCTTTTGGACACAAGGACACGCGGCACACGGTCCGATCTCTCTTCGCACATGAATGCCACAGTAAGACTTCAGAGCCAAAACATATAGACCTTTTGAGGCAACGGCGCTCTCCTCTGCAGCGCGCTGCTGCAGTGCCCTTTCACGGCAGCACTCGCAAACTGCAGGTGCTTGGCAAAGAGTAGTAGTCTTATGGCAACAAAGACTCCGCTTGGTGGCAGCTATGAGCAGTGCTTGATCCTGGCGACAGCAACAACACGTCAAAACCCCGACTATTTGCCCGCACTGCTGCTGACATAGACTCACCGGTTGTCGGGGCGGACATTGTCATGGGTGCCGACATCTCTGTATGCTGTCAAAAATCCACGTTCGAGGTTGTGGGTGTCGTCTTGAGGGGGGCATTCTGTCAGAGAGGTCGTAACGCGAGAGGGGGCAAAGTGCCGGGGTGAAGGCAACAATAACAGTACAAGAAAGCACTACGGCGATGGCGACAAATCTTTAAAAGGTGAAACAGCGTTAACACTTGTGATGCTAGCGGGATAGAGTCTACCGCATCAGACGAGAAAGACGGCAACAGCCACGCACAGTTGCCCTCAGCTAAGGGCAAACTCCAATCTCAGGCGAAGTCTCTAAGTAGATGGAGTCGCGGAGCGCTGCAGACTCCGCTTGCCTGAATCTGAAACTGAAACGACACATCAGTCCAAGGCAGTGCCATATTAATCGTCGGCTTTGCTTCACCTATGACATCGATTGGCATCACCCACATGATTCCAGCGGCCAAGGGACGCTTGCTGGGTGTCGGCCCTCAGTCGCAGCTCCAAGGCCTGGTGCAGAGCTGCCCAATGGCCCAGACCCAAAGCCTACCCACGCAGTTTGGCCTACCCGCCTCCTCCTGACGCAGAGCCGCCGCAAAGGACCTGCGGGACGAGACTGGTACAGACTAGCACTGATACGTGCCATTGTCATGCCTGCAAAGAAGGCACTATCCATCAACATCGATAATCCAATTCTACAGACGAGGAATCTGCTTGTCAGGCGCCTGTAGGAACGTGGGGGAAACGCCATTGCAAAGGCACATGCATGCTGTCAAACTGATGCAGACAGAACCGCTTCGAATACGCTTGCCTTGCGCCCCACTGTCTACTTGCGCGTGTTCCTAAAATGAGCCGTCAGCAAGTCGTGTGCCTACAGGTGGCCAAGAAGTTGCGCCGGGCAAAACACTAGTCCGATCTTTGGTAGCTCTTCTTCTGCTTGACGGGTGTGTGTGTGTGTGTGTACGTGTATTGGAGCATACAACGAAGGACAAAGGAGGATCTTGCAGAGAAATGCAGCAGAACCGCTACTTTTCTTCTGGCTCAACGGCCAAAGCATCTCCTCCGAAAGATTGGCGGATTCGAAGGCAGCTCATGCAACACCATCGAGCATCTAATCTGGTGCCCAATAATAACCCTGCGAAAGCTCTAGTCAGTGGACAAACCAGATTCCGTCCGTCGCAACGATTGCAATACCATAGCCCAGAGCCCTTCACTCCCCAGAACCTGTAGCCAGCATCCGAAACTCAGTGACATCAAGTTGCATGCACGGTTCAGTTGAATATCACAGAACGCACAGCCCTTTGATGCTTTTCAACTCTTCGGGTGAAACACGGTCCAGATTTCTCATCGTCGGCGCTTTGGATGAGCAGCATTCTTCCTGCTTAAAACGCCCAAGGTGTGTCTCTTCTTGCACTTGCAGGAGGGATGGCAAACATGGCTGCAAGCTGCCCCGAACCCAGCCTCAAGGTTTTGATGTGCCCTTTCAGTGTCGCCAGCTTCTGCTTTGCCGTGCGGGCTCTCTTCTCCTTGACCGCTCTGCCTGACATTAAAAGTTTCCGAGCACGAAGCCACACGTCGTCACTGGCGAAAACTGGTAGCACGGGGAGGGTTGCTGAGCTCTGAACGCTTCGACACAAAGGGCCCCCACAAGCCAGGCCAATAACGCTGCATACTCATGAGAACGATCATTCCGGATGGATCTTTAGGCCCTAGGCAGCTCAGAGAGTTTTAAGCGTCCGGCTCTGCAACGTCATGAGTAGAGGCTTGTTTCGAGCGTTCTCTTTGTTCGTCCGGCCGCCTTAGTCGGTAAGCTGTAATCATGAGTAGCACTTGAGTAGCACGCCGTAGCACGCGAATTGACGAGGAGAATCTGGGCACGAAGCCCTTGCGGTTCTTCGCCCTCTCCACAATCTTTTCCTTGAAGTCAGTGCGTCCTGCCCGAACCTCAAAGAAGCGTTGAACCGATGCCGTCGCCGCCTAGTCTGCTCCACCCACATTGCATCGACACCAAATCTGATACTGCCGCAACTGCCTTTAGCTCTGGAGCGCTGTTAGGCCAGACGACACGGGGCAGCTTGGCTGGCTCCGCGTGCAAGCTTTGCACGAATGCCCTTGGCATCAAACCGTGATACTAAACAACGAGGTTGGGCAGAGTTCTGCCCTCATCTTGAAAACTTGGAGGCTATCGACAACGCTCGTACTTCCAGCGCAGGATCATGCCATATATGCAATGCGGTCATATTCACAGATCTCGAGCGAAGGTTTCAGCCGTTCAAGTGGTGGTGGGGTTGGCGAACAATTCGGATGCTTCTGGAACTGGTCGGCACGTGCTTCGCATCAAGAACTCTCTACACATCCACGCTGTTTCCCAGCAAATGCAAAATACGCAGCGATCTGCTTGGGTAACGCCGGCTTGTGCGAGTGCAGATGAGCGAAACGTGCGGCACCGGGCCTTCTGTCGAAACACGATCATCACTTTCGTGATGTCGTGATACGATACTGACTGATACGTGCAAAAGCGAGCACTCATGACTCTGCACATCTTCACCCGTCAACAAAAACTAGCACTACATGGAAACCCTGTTGGAGGATGCAGAGTGCCGCAGCGCTCCGGAAACTGTTCGCTCCACCGGCTGCACCTCGGCACATTGGTGCATTTGGTGCTCAGGCCGTCCGTGAAAGATTATGAAAGCTACTTGGCTGTGAGTCCGGTCCAGTCGCCGTACCAGGGTTAATGCCAAAGAGCCAGATGCTGCAAGCTTTCCACAACCTCCCCGTCGATCTCCATCTTCGAATCAAGCCTCAGCCAATGATGCTCGCGTCTGCGATCTGCTATCGTCGACCGTGCATTCATGTAGAAACAAGTGAAGTCAGCAACGCGTGGTCGCCAGCCTGCCCTTCTCATGACAAACACCCCTGTAATGAACCTCCCTGAAGTAGGCGTTTGTACTGTCTTCCTAGACAGGCTTCTGAAAGGACTCGGATGCGTGTCTCGGGCTACAACACGGTTTGACTTGGTTCGATCGTCCCACAGGGCCGCAACACAGCCATGTGTCACTACATCTGGTCATGCCGAGGCAGACAGGGCGTCGCACCCTCAACTTTCGGGGCCCCGAAACTCTCTGCCATGCTGTTCAGCAAGAGCCTTTTCAACATTCGGCACCGGCAAAGTTGCTTTATTCCGGTCTTATCTTCTTTTCTGCCAACAAGAAGCTCCACAGTTACACTGGGAACTTCAGCAGCCGTGTCGCCACGAACTACCTCAGAAGGCACCAACGAAGCTTGACTTCGACTTCTTCATCAGCAGATGCGCATGCCTCTACGTGGGAAGCTCCTGAGCACATCCTTTGGAACGAACTCCCGTGGCGCTGAGTTGGCCACTCCGTCACGCCAGCCTTCCTGGAGGCCTCTATACACAGCCTGAGTGAGGGCCAAGCTTCTGCGAAAGTCACCCTTAGCCCCGTCCCGTGAGAGCTTAGCCCAAACTGGTCATGGCGGCAAGAGGCCACACGCTGACCGGCTGGAAACCGATGGCGAACTCTGTCCTCAGAAAACCGCACGCTGCGGTTCCATCATGGAGACACCTGATGCTGGCGACCTCTTTTCAACCACGGCTCTGCCAAGACCGTCACGCTCTCGCCGTCGTGAGGACCATCAACCAAAAGCACCCGGTAGCCTTGCGCGAAGTCTCTGCTACTTATGGAGAGCTGTGAGCCTCGCAGCACGGTGTTGGACGTTCCTGACCTTCCGCCCTGAGGCACTGAGGCTTGAGAGGCTCAAAGTGCTCGCCCTTCAGGTCTCCGCATTGGACTAAGGGTTTCACATCGAACACCCAGGCCAAACCCTGTGATACCCTGAAACTTCCCAAACAGCTCTTGCCGATGACTCCAAGGTTTCCCGAAGGCTCTGATGTCATCTGACAAGCGGACACGAATAACACGAAACCGAAAACTCTTGGACATTGCATTGGTTGCACAGGAGCGCCTAAAAGATCTCGGCATGTTTTGAGCGTCTGCTATAGGACAGAATTGCTTCTGCTATCGGACAGATTTATAAAGGGTTTGAGTGCTTGGTTTACAGATTGAGTTGCTCGCGAATACCTGCTGCTGCCCGTCCCGAGAGCCTAGTGGAATGCTCTGTCGTGCGATGACGACGGCAGGAAGCCACCTGTCCTTTCGGCGAAGTGCTCCCCTCCACATATTCAGAAACTGTGCGAATTTTGTCACTCCGGCAGCCGGACAGTTCCCCAAACTTGCAACGATTTTTGTAGACGAACTGCATCGGAATCAAGCGCTTGTTGTTGGGAAACCGTGGAAGTCTCAGGGAATTTCTTTGAAAAGATTTGGGAAGTATCTTTTGATCTATGCAGTTTGCCAGAAGCAATGCCAAGGTCTGCTCCTGAAGCCCTGCCCAGTCCCGCAAACCAGGGTCTGGTCATATCAACCCGAGCAGATTGCAGTCTCCTCACGGTACAGGTAGAGACAGCAAGAACGGCCCCGGACAGTCCTCGCCATCCAATTTGGCACTGACAGTTTGGCCTTCTCTGAGTGGCTTTCTCAAGGCGGAAAGCTCGACCTCATCTGCGCCCTGCACCCATCCATATTATATATGTATCTATAGTGAATACGTATGCGCCGTATATGTGCATATACATGTGCATGCGCATGCATCTGCATATGTAGGTATTTTATCATAGGCCTACAAACACATATAACGGCACATGTATACCAACATACATGCATCCGCCCATCCGTCCATCCATGCACACATACATACAGTCATACAGTCATACGGATATGCACACATGCATGCAGGCATGCACATGCTCATAAGTCATAGCGACGTAGAGACGTGTGCGGGACGTATGAGGGTACATGTACAAATACAAATACATATACAGTACAGAAGCTGCTCACTAAACGCACAACTTCGACTGTACGTATGCCGACATCGACACCTACACCTGCCACCTGTTCATGTTTCATACTATGACATAGACAACTTGCAATCTCACATCAAAGCAAGGACCTCGCAGCACGGAAAAGAAGCCTGTTGTCGCCAAATCACGAATTCTCGTCTTTGCTTGGAAGACCTCTTCGCTTTCAGAATCAAGTTGTAAGTCGGGAAGTTCGGATCTGCTGGTGTGACGACGCCCGGGCCGTCGACATAGCCCTGCAGCCTTCGCTCTTTGGGGGAGAGGCTAGGGACGGCAAGGGGGGCTCTCCGAGACTATTGATCTTTCGACAGTGATTTCTTGCACTCGATGTGGACTGGGTTGATAATCACACGAAAACACTCGGAAAGCTGTGAGGTTGGCGGACGAGCTGCCACTGCGCGTGTGTTGCGGACCAATATTCGACGTGCGCGCCGTCTTGGAACATCTCCCAGTTTCCCATTACAGATTTGATTCGTTTGGGTGAATCTTGATCATCATCTGGATTTGCGATTATGAGGACGTCGTCAGGATCCTCCTCCTTCTCTATCGGCTCCTGCACAATCCAAGCAAGCCGTACTTGAAGATGTCTGAGCTCCCTAAAGCTGTCGCAGGCCTGCGGCTCCCGGTTTGACTCCTCCTCTGCCTCGTCGTCCGCTGCCATATCTGCCAGCACTCTTTCTTCCGCCTGTTAAAACAGGGGCCCCCCCCCGAGAGAGAGAGCTTCGAAGAGCCAGGCCGAGGCTCGCAAGACAAAAAGCGCCTCGGAAAGCTTCCGATGCCTCGAGCTGCGAGGAGACTCGCTCCTTGGAGGCTCGAAAGCTCGAAACCGAACTTCTCTGAGTCGGATCTGCTTCTTTCAAGCAAGCCGCTGTGCATCGTTCGACTCTGCCGACAGCGCCGATCTTACTTTTGGAGATTCCGCAAGCAAGACCCCAGTGTCTGTGACGGCGAGGAAGCGATCTTGCTTCTTTTCACCTCAAGTCGTCTTGGATCTTTTCCGGGTCGATTGCAGCAATGGTCGGCTGTGCAAATTGACAGGGTGCCGTCTGGGGCAACGCTGAAGTCGAAGTTTGCTTCCTGTGCTTTGTCCTAAGCTCTGCTGCCGCTTCGCAGCTTCCGATCATGCGGAGCACGGCAAGACACCACAATCGTGAATACGGTGGACAGATGCACACAGCCTTTCGTGTCTGCAGCCACCGTGCGACATCCACATCCCACCTCACATGGATCTTGACCTCAGCCCATAGATCATGTCGTCTTTACGGAGTGCCAAGCGACTCGAGCTTTGAGGTCGACTGAGCGGCTGCTTCCACCTCTTCTGGCTCCGCGTGCTCCTGGCCTTAGCCGCGCCAGCAGCTTCAGCGGGCCAGTGTCTCCACGCGCTGTCAGTCCAGTGGTGCTGCGTGCACCCAACGTGGTGCTTTGAGAAGCTGAGCTCTCGGCCGGATCTTCCGGATTTTCCAGACTTCGTGGTCGGAGTTCGCACCACTCGCGACAGAGCAGACTCCTTCACCACCTGAAATCCGAACTCCTGAGTGCAACGGTGGCTCTGGCATTATGGCTTCGTCCGAACCATTATCGACATGCGCAAGACGACCAGCAGACCAGGCGCATGAGAAGATCCTCTATGATCCGTCAGCTTTACCTTGCCCGCCGTTGGGCGCCGACATTTGATGCAGCCTTGAGTGGCACTGGCACGGTGCACGTTTGCATCTCACCATTCATGATTCGAAAAACACCGTACTGCAAGTCCTTCAATGTCCTTCAAGTGAGTGGTGCCTGCGAAATGGGTATCCGAATGCAGCAAAGGCAGGTTCCTGACTGCCAAGGGGCAGTAAACGATGCAGCAGATGGAGCAGCACCCCAGTGGTCCCCTCGGCCCCGAAAAGTCAGGTCAGTGTGGAAAGTGCAAATGTGCTCACACTTCCCGCTCTGGCGCCAGATTCTGTCCGAGCGGCCCTACTGCTCCCAACAAGATTTCAATAGCAATGCACTCGCTTCCGAGTGCTAATCCATCACAAGGAGCTTCCTGTTCACAGTGCAGAGATCGAATTGGCTCAACACGAGAAAACTACCAACATGTTGTCAGGATCTAGCAGAAAACAGCAGAAGCGCCTCAATTGGCTCCAGGATGCCGAAAAGGGACAGGTGATTTGTGGCACACCAGAATCCCGTACCCGACGCCTCACAGGATGATGGTTCCAGTTCCCAAGCGGTTACCGTGCGCCGAAGCTGGATTTCTCGGCCTCTGCAATGACTATGATTTTAAGAGCAGGCGACCCATAAAAACGTAGTACTTTGTGACTGAGTACTCATAATGGCGAAGCTTGTCTTCATCACTTGACATCGTCTCGGAGTCTGCCATGGCCTCCAAGCCAACGGCCGCAGCGACTTCAGCTGCATCTGGTCGATAGGTGCCGTCCTGCATTGCGCCTTCTTCCCCTCAACTTGAACATGGCAGTTTAATTTCTCAGTCTTTGAAGTTTACAAAGACAGACCTTCGGATGTGAAAAGATGTTGCAAGCAGGTAGGACCTCATGAGATCGTCCTGTGACCAGGTGCCGGAGCTTAGGAAGGCACACGCCGCTCCATCTGAGAACTCCTGTGGCGACAGCCTGACGCATATCAACATGAACCGGGAGGCACACAGCCACACGTGTCGCGCCTGATGTAGATGGGCGTGGCAAGATTCGAGAGAGCCTTGACGGGAAGTGTCGGCAAAGCATCATGTCTTCAACCCATAAAAAAGACTGCTGTGAGTGTACAGGTTCGTAAACCTGTAACATCTGACTGACCGGCAGAGAGCACTCAAGCAGTACTCTCTCAAACAAGGCAAAGTACGATGGCTCGCGGATTGGCCGGCTCGTTACTCAGCACGCTCACCTGCCCAGTCCAACAGCAAAATTCACTGGACCGATCATCACCAGCACCAGCAAATTGAACACCTGTCGAAGATCCACTGCCATCCTGGTGTGCCTCCACCAACACTGACCCCAGCACGGCCGACTGGCCATTTGCCAACGTGACGCTCCTCGTGTTGTCGCTTCTCCCGATCATGAACGGAGCCCCCCCAAGGTTAAGCAGTTCTGCAGGGGGCCGTTGAGCTCAATATCACCCCAACAAGACTGTGAAGTAGACCGAAACCAAGGTCAATTCCAACCAATCAAGGGACACGTACTTCACAGGTTGAGGGAGAAATGCCTGCAGGGTAACATAGAACGTTTACTAGAAAGCATGAGCTGAGCTCCCTCGGGACGGCTCTGCGATCCGCGAAATGACACGGGCCCTACTCTATTCTGCAATGTTGTTCGGCCGATGTCGACCTTGAATATTGAGAGCGGCGTGCGTTTAAGGAGGACAGATCGTCTTGCAGCGGCTTGGGGCGAAGCATGGAAGCGGTTCACGCATTCCTCGTGCTCACCAGTATGTCTGTAATTAGCTTGTACATGTCGAAAAAAGCCACAGAACTAGCTGCTAGGTCGTTCCACCTTACGATGGTCGGCTCTGCCGCCAGCGAATGCATCCGGGCCACGTCTTTGCAGCTAGGGGCCCCGATGGCAAAGAGCTCCGACTTGTGGCGTTCATGCTGCCGTACTGGATCTCAGCAACCTGGATGATTCGCTGGGAAGAATGAGCACAAAATCCTTGCTCACCAGCTTTGCCTTCGTGTGGCATGCAAAATTAATGCAAAAGTAGTTCTCTCAGCTCTCTCACCCTCTCAGCTGCTGACAGATAGAACATCGTAGCCACCGACGGATTCGGAAAGCCTCGGAATTCATGGGGGCGGCCTTGTGCTAGGCTGGGATCACGAAAAGTATGATCCCGACCATGCTGGCAGGGCAATGAAGATCTCCTCGTAGATGTCCGCCACGACGTTTACGAATCTGTCTTGTGACGACCTCAAACTCGAAAGGAGGAGACGCCTTGAGCATGTGATTGGCATTAAAAGCTTGCCTGCCGATGGACATGATCAGCTTGCTTGAGCAGTCATGTGTCTCTGTCAGATTGCATCATGTGGGAGTTTCCGAAAATGGGGACCCTAATATAGTACCCTAAATAGTAGGACCCTTATTATAACTCCAAAATAAGGTATCCCTATTTTCGGAAACTCCCATACATACTATGAGCTACTAACTATGCCGGTGTAAAAAAAAGGCTGCTGGTGGGCTAGTAGCATACCCCTATTTTCGGAAACGCCAAACCCTAAACTTTTTGCAGAACCAGAACCCTTACAGATCCCCTTAAAGGAACCCTGATAGTACCCTTATAGTATCCCTTTAATGGAACCCTCAGGTCTATGAGCTACGAATGCGGACGAGTCGCGCGGGGAGCTCCGGAAGAGTGACGAGGGCTCCACTCAGCCCAGGGCCAGCACTCCACCCGAAAGAAGCCTTAGCTCGGAGCAAGAGCGAGAGAGAGCTCGGAGCAACCTGTAGTTATACTAGTATATAGTTATAATGATAATTACTAGTATAAGTATAAGTATAATAGTATACTTATAGATATAATATAATGGTAAAACTCATGCATCGAGAGATCAGAGCCTAAGATGCTAAGTATCGCGGTTTTTTCGGTCTGCAAAGAACCAAAGACGAGTGCTGGTGAGTCACGGATTGCTGCGGCTGCGTGGAGGCAGCACCGAGTGCTTCAGAGAACACCCCTGCTGCAGAGGTCAACACCTCGGCATGGCAAACACTGCAACTGGACCCTGTGAAGCTTCGCCTGTGTGACGTGTGGATGCAGCAGCTGCACATACTGCAGCTGCCAGCGCACGAGTCATACATCCGGCATCTCCACGATCCAGATGAATGGCATCGGACCCGATCGCTGCGAAGGCCAGCCGAATAAAAGGCCGGTATTGCCGAGCTGAAGTGATGCAACAGCTCTGGTCACGCCAGTTCCACATCCCACACACAGAGACACAACCCAACAACTTGCAAGGAACGGTGCGGCGTCCATCTCTGGCCAGTCGCTATGCTGGCTTGGCTTCTGCTCTCGACGATGCTTTCTGTCAAGGTTTGTCTGCCACACGCCTGCCCGGCTATGCTAGCTCTACCTTCAAGATCTTTCAAGCATCCTCTGGCTTCAGGCTCGAACAGAGACCCTGATGCTCTGAGTCCGCGGCGAGGTTCTGCATCGCGCCGGCAACATCGCCAGGTTCTACCAGGACCTCAATGGACCGGACACCTCGAGCCTCATGTCGAGCTTCGACTTTCCGGCCAGAGCCAGAGCTGCTGGATTACTTCCCAGATAGTCTATGCTGAAACGGTGCCTCGAGAATCGCGAAGAGCCCAAAGTGAAGCGTGGCACACCAGAAGCCAGGGCTCCATGCCTGAGCACTAAGGTGCAACTGCTGGCTTCTTGCAAAGGACACCTACCGTCTGTAGCCAGCTAAATGCATGCCTCAACCTGGGTATCCGATCATTCAAACCGCTCCCGTGACGGTCCGGGCCATGCCACTGTGCCGAGAGCGGCTCGGACCTCGGCCTCGTCCGGCCTGTAGGTGTCGTCCTCTTTGCGGGCGGGGGGGGGACGAGAATGCGGGGGTCCAGGGACAGTATCAGCAGTAAACTCTCCTGAACCCACTCGTTCAGATGATTGAGCCAAGCACAGATCGCGGTGTCGGCGAAGACATCGTCTGGGGAGAGCCTGAAAAGGCAGGGGCCCAACGAATCTTGCAGCAACACGGTGACTCGGATCGCTCGCCTGAAGTACATGGGTTCCTCTCTCGACCATGTGTCAACGGCCGTGATCGAGGTCACTTGGGCCATGTCCACAAGGCTCACCTTGACAGGAGCACACTCGGCTCGCGCTCCCGAACCAGGACCAAAGTTTGCCCTTTGAGTGCTTGCCTGGACCGCCCTTGGGCCGATCTTGAATTGCCCTTGGCCCGTTTCGACGATCCTGGGCGTTTCGACCAGCAGAGCTTGAAACAGAATTTTTCAGTCCCCGCCAGCACGTGTCGCGACTCATATACAGCTTCGAGGTTCGTTCCAAACGACAAGCCATCCACACCAAATTGAGCTTGCGCTTCAAGGGTGGTCGCGAAGGAGGCTACCTAAGCATTCCATGCCATCGGTACTGCCGTTGTCTCAGCTCGTGTGCATTGGTTCAGAACAAGCTTCACAGCTCACAGCCACCGCCACAGCTGCACCTCAGACTCAGAGTCCCTCAGGCCGCCGCAGCCAAGGCCGGGTACGATGCAGGCAGTAGGGACCGGAACCTCCGCCGCAGGCCAAGAATTCCCGCCGAAGGCCACATCATGCGGCATGCGATTTGAAGTTCGAAGCTCCAAGCTCGGGCGGAGACTCTCTGAAAATCGCCGCAGCCACTGTGCTGTCAGGCATGGCTGCGAGGAGCAGGAACTCAGAAGTTGCCATCCTGAGCTGGAAAGCTTGCTGAGGATTGGCTCTGGCTGCCGCCCCCGAGATCTGTCCGAGCACATTTGCACGTTGCTGAAGGTAGGACGGGTAGCGGGTCTGCAAAGGGCAGGGTGATGAGACCCGCCACGACGTCTTCGGAGAAGACTGTGCTCCTGGCGGCCTCAGCCACCGGTCTGCCGAGCATCTGGAGCCCAGAGGGCAAAGAACGGTGCCGCCAAGCTGCAGAGGTATATGGAAAATTGCCTGACGAACATGAAACCGTACCCCTGAAAAAGCCTCTCGACTGGCTGCTGATGCTATTGTCGCCCCATGCGCCTGACATTTGAACCGCATCCTCCGTGAGAGGTCCGGTCCATTCGAAGACCTCACAGAGCCGGTCAGTTCCAGTGACATTCCAGTGCAAAACGCGAGCACCGAGCCCTTCAATCCACGAAGAGGGCAGATCATTTCCAGTGAGAGGGGTCCGGCTGCACTCGCTCATTCCATTCGACAGGTGTTATTGCGCTAATATGCGCTAATTACACTACTTGGAAGGATGCCCGCATTTGGGCAGGTCAAGAGGCGTAAGTGCGAACCAGATGTGTCAGCACAAACAAATGAGAACGCAATGTGGATGCAGTCATCAACCACGCCTTGTTCTGGACTTTGATCGCGGTACCGCTTTCATGCGTGCTGTCTCCAGCTGCCTGCACGACAGGCGACACTTGTTCTCGGATAGCACTTTGAATACACCTAGCATATAAGCCTTAGGCCTTTGGGCGTGGGGGTCATGGTTCCAATCATTCAATGGCAGCGATTCGGCTTTCTGACTGGCTGCATGTTTGTGGCTCCTTCCCTCATATTCCTTTTGGCTGCGAGAGTATTCTGATTCTGAGTCACAGTAGCGTAAACGTTTCTTGAGCTGGACCTTTTGCTTTGCTTGTTGATTGCAAGAAATTTCTCTTCCGGAATTAAACGAAGAACAAGCTGTTTTCTGTAGTCGCTGCCTACTGCATTCGAACGCAATACATCTGACAGACGCTAGCAACATGATGGTCAAACTTTCAATCCACACCAACGCAAATCATGGGAGGTTGTCATGACGGGCAGTCTAGTAGGCGGAGAATGGCGGAGACTGCCTGTCGTAGAAAAGAGCATGCTAGAGTGTTCACAAAGCGGTTCCTATCAACACAAAATGCTGCAAGCGCCTCGAGGATTGCGAAGAGTGAGGGGCGGTAGGCAGAGCACCAGAAGCCGCCCGCCGCGGCAATCTCAGACAAGAAGGGCCGAGGCAGTGCAGTCGCTGAGGCTGCTCTCTGCCGAGCGGCGACAGGCCCAAAAACCTCGCTGATCTCTGCCGTGGATGGGACGCTGGTACCGTCCTCCCGCAGAGATCCGGCTTGGAAATAGAAGGAAGGCTGTGCACATGCTGGCGACCTCCGACCACTCGTTCGCAGCATTGAGAAAGGCGCACACGGCACCAGGGAAGTTCTGATCGGAGAGCCTGCCATAATAGCTTGCTCTCCACTCCAATCACGAGCTTGCACTCACTGGGATCCACTGCCCCTACCTGCCTCATGTAGATGGGGCTGGACGAGCTCGGGACAGCCTAGGTCAGTTGTCTGCTCCAATGGTTCGGCAGTTTGGCGGTAGCTTCCATTGTGACCCGAATCAGCTCATGCGCGTCAACCTCTGGACTTTGCTCTGACGCAGGCAACGCAAGCTGTGCGAGCAAGATTCGAAGACTTCTGAGCTGCCACGCAAGTCGAGTTTAACCAAGCTCACCTGACGCAGGTCAAGCAGGCAAGCAGATGCACAGCTTGTAGCGCGCACACATCACGCCTCCACCATCTTGTAGCCAAGCTTGAGCTGCTTCCCTTGAGCAGTCATCACGCTCCTTGGCAGAGCGGCTCAGTACCGATCCGGACGCTGCAGAAGCCAAGCCGACCCAGTCATCTCTTCGAAGCGTCGCATGAAAGTGCAGTCCAAGCATCGGCCTGCTCGCCAAGGCTGCGGGAAGGCCCAGTGCTTCCAAATTCGCTAGGCCAAATTCGACTTGGGTGACCTAGGCAATAGGGGCCAGGGCCTCAAAGCAGACGTGCAGGGCGAATTGGAGAATTGTGCTAGCAGACATCAAAATAGTGTTTGCTACTCGTACTGCTTGTGCTCGCAGTCGAAGCATCGGGGCTGTTTCATCGCTGGATTTCCGAGTGGACTACCTCCCCTCGAAACACCACTGCCAAGAGCTCTCGAAGCTGGGAGCACGTAAATTTCCATCCCACAACACACGAAAACCTGCCCGGTCTGTTGTGAACTTCTGAGGTCTCGCAAACTTGAAATCCACGTCAACCGGTGAGTCACTGCTTAGGAGGCCACCAGCAAAACCGGATGGGATATGATCATGTCGGAAATGGAATCCCGCATCCTGAGAAAGCAGGCTCGATGTTCGTGCGAGGACTGACGTGTCCACAGATCATGGCTCGCGCTCTGTACTAGATGCGTTGAAGAAGCAATGCAAACGGGTGTGGGCAACCTAGATCTAATTTGGTCTTTAATTGGTGGCAGCTCACATGTCTCAGACCGTGAATTCCCAATTTTTGGAACTCGTAAATATGCTGGTTCGCCAGATTGATTCTGTGGATTAGCCTTTCTTCTGACTTCTGCGACCACTGCGACTATCGTCAGCTTCTTCATACGGCGCGACGATCTAAGCAACTACGCTGCCGGGAAGGTCACCATGATGAGTAGCGCAATTGTTGGAATTGCGGCTCCGTTTGTGATACTTTTGAAGGTATGAGTATGATGGATGTTCACATTCGTGATTTCGGGCTGTTCTGATTGATATGATCAGCATGCCAATACCACAGTTCTCAGTCACAGAATAACGATAATCAACGTGAGCAGTTTTGATCGTCATGAGACTGTCGCAGCTATGATGCCTGCGAATATTGAGATGCTTACATTGCCATGCCTCACATTATGAAAACAGTATTGTGTGGTTGCTGCGACCGCTCTGGTTGTCATGACTACAGCGGGGTTGCGTGCTGATTTTATTGCGATCACTGCCTGGGGTAAGGTCAGAATGACTGCTCGGGATATCGCGGTGATGGTACGCGTGATGCGCAGCTGTCGCTCTGACTACGATGACCACGACGAACATCTTGACGAAGAAGATTATGTGTTCCTATCTACCAAGTTCGTTGTGTGTAATACCCTATCTTCTGTAGTGCTGCTCGCACGCAGCCAGGAGCAGGTCAGGTCTTGACCTGCCTACTCCGCGCCCTTCTTTAGTCTCTCTCTATCTCTCTGTCTCTCCCTCTTTCTCCTTCTGTCAATACCTTTCTGTATCTATATGCCTATCTTTTGAATACTAACACTGTCCTTCGCCGAAACTTCTTTTGTGTCCTTTCTTCCCTGCTCCCTCCGTGCATCCATCCTATGTTCTTGCTGCACGTTTCTGGCTAGCACTCTTGCTTTTTGCGTTGGTCCCTTCTTCGTGTCTTACTGCCTTGCCAAGCTTGCTTCCATTCTTTCTGCTGCTTCTTTCTCTTCTCTCTTCCCGTGTTTCTGCCTGCCGACAGTCTCTCTTCCTTCTTGGTGTCATGCTTCCGCTCTCTCCCAACAATCGCCCTCCCCTGAAGTCATGTTCAGAAGAGCTGTAAGGGACAAACGTTGTCGGGATGGCAATGGGGATCGCTCCATCACCGGGCACGGTCAGCATCATAAATGCTGAATTGTCCCTCAGTGAGGTCACGACAGCAGCGCATCATGACTCTCGAAGCTAGCTGTTCTTTGCAGGCCGGCTGCAGGGGGGCAAACGGGAGAGTGATGACGTCCTGCTTCATCCCGGCAGGTGGAGTTGAGCTTGGTACGACCGCCTTTGCTGACATCGGACATGGCAGTCAGCTCACTCCTTTCAAACCCAGGGATTCTTGAAAGGCTTCAGAGCCCGGATTGCAGTTCTTAGTGGCGCGTGACAATTCGGCTTGAAGCCGCACCTGCTCGATCAATCGATTGACAAGATAGGTCTAAATAGCCTCTTTGCCTGTTGTACAGCAGACCGGGGTCTACACACATTGACGAAATTTTCCCCTTCCTGAATTGCGAAAGCCGAGAAAACCCGCTTTCGGCACGAAACAACTTTTGTTTTAGGTATGACCTTGTGTACAATGTAGCAATTCTTGGTAGTTTTAACCACAGCACGCACAACACCTCCTATGCTCAACACGCAGAAACTGAGTAGTCCTTCCAAAAACGTTCCTCATACACAGACACCCTACATGTCGAAGATGCCCGTACAATGCTGCTACCAAGCTGCGGCCTCCAGTGGATTGTCCATGGTTTGATCGACGGATCGACTGGTGGCGTCGCTTATTAGCCCGCTTGCCGTCGCTTGCGACAGGACCTGCAGAGAATTCGAAAAGCTCGACACACCGTGGCACTTCCCTTGCACCGGAACTTCCTTTTGATGGCTGCTAGGGGCGCTGACCGCACTTTGGACGCTCTGGGCCATCGGAATCGCACCAGTGCTCGTAGTTGTCGTGGGTGCCAATTCGGCCTGGTGACTGGCTAGAACGACTAGAGTCTGGAATCTGACATCTGCAGAATCAAAGGCTGAGACGCAAGACGCGAGGCCTGTAACGACTACAATGACAATCGCGACTACAACGACACTCGCCGCATCCAGACCAACCGCCACCGCCGGCACGGAAGGCAATGAAAACAAGAGTTAGACAGAATTAAATCCGGGGATAATTGTCCGTCAAGGGCGGTGTCCGAACTCCAGGACCCGAAAAAACAATATATCCAGAGCGAAGTCTTGCATGCACATGCTTGGTTTTGCGAAGCAATTGGATTTAATTCTAGTGTTTGTCTGCCTCAGGTTTTCGAACAAAATAAACTCCATATTTAATTGTTTTTCGGTTCTCCGGAAAAGAGAAACCATCGGTACCTTGTTTCGCGGACTTCGCTGTGTTTTCCCCCATCTAAGCCCATTTGTCAGGATTTCAATTGTATTTTTAAGCTGGTGTATGGCTTATGATCCGCTCGCTGTTGCTTTTAACTGATTGCAAAGCCTGCAACAAGACTCATTTCTTGTCCTCAGATCTGCCCCGGTCAAGACCTGTCTTCGGGGAACTGCAGCATTTTGCTACACTCAGCCCCTTCCAATGCTGCCATTGAGACTCTTTGATTTTGTCATCCACAGCCGACCCATATCGCATGTTCATGTCTCGACAATTGTCTTTGGCCCTAGCAAACCAACCGTCCAGCATCTGAGTCCTAGCTTGGGACTGGAATGAGGAACCATCTGGATTCGCATGCATGGTAGTCTTTTAAAGTACAGGCCTCCCTTTTTGGATGCATGGCTCACACTGTCTCTAGCTTGTCCATTTCGTAGTGCCGGATAAGATGTGGCCCCGTCTGTATGCTGCAGAACATGCTGGCCAATCAGAGGGTCTCCAGAACTCTGCGGAAGGTCCTTTAGCTGTTGCCACTCTTCCTTGGTGTAAGGTCTTGGCACAGCTCTGCCATCTGCAGCTCTAGAACTCACACCTTCATCTGAATCTCGTCGAGATACATGAAGAGACTCACGATTTCCTCTGGCTTTGACAGCCGCGACTTAATGAAAGGTAACTTCTTCACTTAGATCGGCACTGCCACGTTCCTCCAGCCCAAAGCACCACTCCTCCACTTCGAACTCTGCGCGCATGCTTCGATTGCCCTCGATAACAATGTCTAGCGCTGCCCTCCATTTCTTCGAAATGGTGTCAACAACATTCTTCGTCGCTCCCCTGACCATGGTCGGTATCAAGCCAATGGGTATGCCCCATACCAAACAGAACAAGGCTCCAACCTGTTCTTGTCAGCCCGGTTCTGCTGCTGAGAACCTTGCTTGTGCTTACTGGCAATATGTACTTATGGCAGTGCTTGGACGAACATCTGAACCGCCACTTCTCCTGCTGAAAGACCAGATTTCCCACTCTACCCGCGCGGCAATGCGTACAAACTTCCGGCTTACTCATGTGACCGCTCTTGTACAGCGAGGTCAGCAGCTGTCTCTCCGCTTTCACCTGTACATCCTCTAATACAACATCAGTATTAGCCCAACTACATCTCCCAGCGTCTCGTCATCATCAACCTTCTGAGAGGATGGCACATAGCTAGGTCTGGCTGCAGGTTTCTTTTTGGACTGTGAAATCTTACCATGGGGACGCCGCAAAACACGGAGGAGTGTACCTCTTTTGAGTTTCTAGTTCCATTTGGGAGGCATGCTGCCTTCGATAAATGCCTACTGCGAGTATCATTCGTCAGAGTAGCAGTAGCAGTGGCAGCCAGCAGTAGCAGTAGTACGAGGAGGAGGAGGAAGAAGATGAGGAGGAGTAGTAGTAGTAGCAGCAGTAGTTGTAGCAGTAGTAGTAAGGAGACCCAGGAAGGGGTGGTTCATAAGGCATATGCGACCCTATTTTTACTTCTCTGGTTGTAAATTACACCCATCTAGTTGTATTTCGACTTATTGTGGGGCTTAGGGTGTAGGGCTTCAGCGAAGGAACTTCGACGTCAGCAGCGACTTGAGCAAAATTGAGGATCGCCCGATGGAGCTGGGAGCGGGAGTGGTGAAGCCAAGAGGAACAGATCCCAGGCCACTCCGCCAACGGGCAGTGGTGCTTCCGTTGCTTGGTGTTCTCACAAACGCAAGAGGGCACTCTTCCACAGCGCCGTAAACTCAATGCCGCTAGGAAGCCACGAGCCGTGCTGAAGAAGATCTGTAAGGACTGGGGGTAGCTCCAGGTTTCTGAAGCGGGTCTCCCCTGTCGCCGGGTCACGCCTCTTCACCTCCAATCTCATGTTTTTTTCGCGTGCTGTACAAGCAGCGGTGTAGCTGGACAGGTGAGTCATGTCCTTGCAGCGCCGCTTTGGCACCGCTGAAGCAATGCCAGCCGAAGAAACCATGCTTCAAAGTGATGCCGCCGTCGGTGGCCGTCGCAACATACTTTTGCACCAGCTGCTCATGCGCTTCCTGTCGCACTCGGGCAAGAAATCTGATGCACAAGCGGGCAAACACATAACCGTTCATAACCTGGTGAAGTATGGCCAAGGCACGTAAGGCACCTGATCCTCGGTGCGGGCAAGCAAGAAGACTTTACGCACGAAACGCATGGCCGGTCGCCCTGCGCCATCTTTGTCCGTGTGTAGCCCCACTGAGCCAATGGCCCCAAGAGAAGGTTCCCTGCGTTCGTCCTGTGTGTAAAACCCGTCAAGAAGTTGGAGAGCGGCTGCTGCTTCAGCCAGTCAGATGCCAGGTCAAAACTGAACATGATGGGCGCCTCCTCATCGGTGATGACACCGCCATCATACACCACAATATCTTGCGGAGGACCGTTGACGAACCTCTGCGAAGCCACGCCGTCTGCCGCCAGCTTTGATTGCTGCTCTGGCTCTGGACGAAAGTTCGCGATCTGCCAGGCAGGCGGGCGACGCGACGCTGGCACCTCGTCACGCTCCATCTGATGCAAAGTCTGAAATGGCGTGGAACTCTTGGCAAACTCCTTCGCATGTCTCCTCCTGATGTTCTTCTCATTCTTGCTCCTATTGTGTTCACCCACTATACCTGCACTTGCATTTTGCCCATGTCGGGGAAGCTGCAAAAAAGACACGGCTTTGTGCACTCCCTGCACTCCGTACACGAGGCTATCAATGCCGGCTTCTTCTCCATGGATGACGTCGTCAAGGTTGCGTGCAGGATGCCTTTCTCACTGAGCCATGTCAATGCGACACCCCGCCATCCGCTGGCAGCTCTACTTGCTCCGAGTCGTGCCAAGCCTTGCGTCCACGTGTAGTTACGGCCATCTTGAAGGAATGCGTACACAAGTCTTGAAGGAATGCGTGCACAAGGCTTGGGGAAAGAGGAACTTTATAGACACAAGCAACAGCCTCACAATGCGGCGGTAACATTCAACACTAATGCATGTGACTCGTCTCAACTAGGTGGCGGGAGTGCCGGAGCAGGATTTTTTGTGGTTCAGGGTGTGGGATTCAGATCACGTGTCTCCACCATATTTTTTGTGCTCCAGTCAACCCATGGCTGCTGGTTTTTGGACTCCTAGACCGTAAACACGAAACCCTAAGTTGAGAAGTGTCGAGAACCGCTGATCCACAGCACAGCGGTCCCTTCGAGCTGGAAACCACATTTCGAACCCCAAGCCTCGAACCTTAAGCCCTCAAGACCCTACACCTAAGCCCCCAAAGCCAAGCTTAGGCTGGGGTCATGCAGGGCTCCAAGTTTTGACACTCGTAAGGAGAAACCAGCCAAGGCCCGGAATATGGAGCGCCAAGACCACCATGTAGCCGTAGATCAGAGACGCAGCAAGAATGGAACCCCAAGACTCCGAAGAGTTGAAAATTACTTAATTAAATTTATTAAATCCAAAGCTTATTCCCCTCGAAAACCGCAGCAGACAATTAAATTCAAAGGGGCCCGAGCAAAAGTTTTTTCCCTTCAAAAGAGACCCCAACCCGCAGACCAAAATCAAGTCCTGAGCTGGTTGTCCGGCAAGGGTGCGGGAAAAGACCGACAATTAACTTTAGAGGTAACTGTCTCCTCCCTACTCCCTGACAAAACAATTTAATCCAGGGTTTATTGTCAGAGGCCAGAACAATTAACTGCAAAGCTTATTCGTTCAAACTCGTGTTTTCATTGTTCGTCCCGCCGGCACCACCACGATCACCACCACGACCACCACCACCACCACCACCACCACCACCACCACCACCGCCACCATCACCACGACAACAACAACGACAATAGGGCAAGCCAGCGAGGGCTGGAAGTGCAGTTGGCAAGACAGCCCACTTCACAGACCCACAACGGTTCCCGACATGATCGGTCTGAAAATACTGAGCAGGGACGCCGGCACGAATCAAGGACTCTCACATGACGTATGACAGAAGGCCATCCCAGGCGATGTGCCAGCACTTAACAGTATGCCCTCCATGAACTAGGACGATGCCAAGGAAAGCATCAAGGAAGGTGAGCCATCACCAGAAACCGAGAATACCAGCAATCCCCATGTACCTGTCCTTCAAGACCTGTATCTTTGAGACATTGGATCTCAATAAGTCTTCAGTAGGAACAGTTGAAAGTTGATTACATGATCTTCCTTAAGTTGGAAACTCCCAGGAAGATCTTTGCATTGCTGTATCTCCACAAGTTGTAGCTTCCCAGGTTAATTCTAACCTTCCTTTGCATATTACGACGAGCCGTAATGCTGTAACATGACTGATGACAGTGCAACCTTTCAAGAGTACACCGGAAGGTGTGGAGGGGCCCCACAACCGGCACGAACGGCCTCGAGGATTGCGAAGAGCGAAAGGTGGTAGGCAGAGCACCAGAAGCCGCCCGCAGCGGCAATCTCAGACAAGAAGGGCCGAGGCAGTGCAGTCGCTGAGGCTGCTCTCTGCCGAGCGACGTCAGGCCCAAAAGCCGCGCTGATCTCTGCCGTGGTCGGCACGTTGGTACCGGCCTCCCACAGATGTCCGGCTAGCAAACAGAAGGAGGGCCCTGCACATGCTGGCGACCTCCGACCACTCGTTCGCAGCATTGAGAAAGGCGCACACGGCACCGGAGAAGTTCTGATCAGAGAGCCTGCCATAATAGCTTGCTCTCCACTCCAATCACGAGCCCCTCCCTGCCTCATGTAGATGGGGCTGGACGAGCTCGGGACAGCCTAGGTCAGTCGTCTACTGTCAGGGCTCGGCATTACACCCGTCCGTATCATACCCGCACCGCGGAGAAGACTCAACTGCTGTCAGTGGCAGGCACCGAGTCTTAAATCTGCGACAAAAAAGCTCACTATCCTCGCCTGATGTCACCCGCCATGCGAACAAGATTCCAAGACTTGCGCGCCGCCACCCAGGTCGAGGTCAAGGAAGCTTACCTGGGAAGTCGGCAGTTGCACTGCTCGCAGCACGCGCAAATCACGTCATCTTCCCTGCTGCAGCTTGAGGCGAAAGCCTCCACCATCTTGTAGCCAAGCTTGAGCTGCTTCCCTTCGGCAGTCGTCACACTCCTTGGAAAAGACAGGACCGCAGACATGTTCGGACACCACCACAGCCGTGACCTGAAGTCCCCTCTGCGACTCTGCGAAGTGTCGCAACACGACAGGTCTCAGTGCAGTCCAAGCATCGGCCTGCTTGCCAAGGCTGCGGGAAGACCCAGTGCTTCCAAATTCGATTGCTCAACCTGGACTTGGGCGACCTGGGCAAGAGGGGCGAATTGGACAGCTGCTAGCAGCTAGCAGCTGCTAGCATGATAGTTGTTGCCACTGGGTACCGGCGTGCAGTTGAAGCATAAATGCCTTCCCTTGCATTTGTTGGTTTCCGATGGTATTCCCTCCGCCCAACGAAAACCGCGTCCAGCTAACGGTGCAGCCCGGTTTGTGTTCATGGGTCTGGCCATGCCTGCCATTCAAAGAATTACTCCCAACTGCATCTTGCTCAGGCGGCGACCAAAACAGCCGCGTAGGGTGCGGCAATGGAGGACCGGAGCCTGAAGAAGCAGGCTCGATGCTCGCGGGAGGACCATCGTCAATGACGAACAGTTGTCCTGTTACGGAACTCTCGCACGTGAAGTGAGTGAGAGTCATGCCACTTGACCGAACAGATAACCTTGGGCCAACCCATGGCGTTTTAGGAACTAGCTGGTGGCTGGCCAGTGTGGCACGAGACGTTGTCGACAAGGGGAGGTAGCGCTGTCAGGAGTGGGAGCAACTCCTGAGGGATCGGAATAGGATGGCTAAAGAACTACATCTGGTTGTGAGGCCATCGCAGTCGCCTCTGTTTGGGTCGCCGCAAGACTTGTGTTGAGTGTGCCAACGGCCCAACATTCTGGAACTCGGGTCAATGCAGCCCACGTGGACTCATCGAACTGGCGACCTTCAGCGCGTTAGGCACCATCAGTCTCGAGCGCTGTATGGCAGGAGGCGCCAGGATGGTGGCGGCTCTTCCCTACGACAACCAAACATTCGGAACCTGCGCAATTGGATCTGGAAACGTGGAATCCACGCGTTTGGAGCGCGGCCCCTTTCCACAGGTCAACTCCAAATACCTATTTTCTACACGCAGCGGTGATTGCCCTCATTGATACGGCAAAGTTTGCTTTGTCATGTACATGCCGGTGCTTTCGTCATCTATGAGCAATCGGACCATGATAATGGTCTCTGTTTATCATTGCCAGTGGGGATATGCTGATTCAAACGGCTCTTGTGATTAGCTGGCCATGACTATGATAATCTTTCTGCTTTGGCTTCGTATGCCTCCGGAGATTTGAGGTCATTGCGACTATTGCGGCTGAGCCTTACGACTACTTGTAGCACTTCTGGTAGCTATCACATGTATAGCGCTTCGGTCAATTATGGCCATTAGGACGGATGCCTGTGCTTGTGGAAGAGAAATGACACGCGAACAAAATGAGCAGGATCGACTGCATGACAATAGCTTGACCTTTCATATGACCCTGACATTGGTTTGACCTTTTGTCTGACTCCTGTAAACAGTGGGCTTATCATGTTCCTTCAGTGTTCTTAAGTTCATCAAGACTGGCATTAAAGCTGCTGGATGTTCATCGCTGTGATGAGCCAGATGTCTTACATGATGGTGAAGAACGAGGACTAGTAGCAGCTTCAACGATCAATGTTGAGAAATAACATTGGCAGCAACTAATGATTATGTATGCAGTGCTGTGACTCCGATGAAGTTTGGGTGACCTGCTTCTGCCGCTTCTGCTGAGTAATTATGCCAGCTGCAGCCAACACCACCGTCGTGCAGATACTGGAAGTGCGAAGTTTTGAGGCGACTACACGCTGAATCCTGTCATCGTTCTAACTAGAACGCTGATTGTGATGCAAATGGCTTTCGCTAGCTATCATCTAAAAATTGGTGGGCCCTCAAGTTCAAACATTACTACTGTGCCGTGCAAGGAAGGCCCCGTCCAAGGCGTCAGCCTTCAAAATTTACAGTTTTTCGAGGACACCGACCGTTACTGCACACGTGCCTGAATTAGGATACTTGCCGTCTCGGTCAATACATCTTATTCGTTGGAGCACTGGGGAATTATTTCGAGCGGCTTGCATTCCCGAGCATTAGCAACACGTTTGTGAGGGCCTTGCTAGTTCCAGTGCAATCAAACAGCAATAACGAGGATTCACTATAAGTAACTATCCTGGCTCCTCAACATGCGGTATTGAATTGTACGAAGAGAAATCCACGAGGTGGCGCAGATCTTCACCCCACGTCGAAACTTGTGACGTCTCTCTTTCTCTCTCTCCCTCGCGTTCTCTACAAGGCATCAGGGCACATGCGGTCTGTCGCGAACCCTCTGGAGTCTTTCTTTCCATATGCCTCCCTCTCTGCACTCTCTCGTGGTAGATTCCGACCTTCTGTCGCGGTGTCCTTGCAAACGACGGCGGCAAACAACTAAGGTTCAGGCGCCGTCGGGATGGCAATCGGGATCGCTCCCTCATCGGGCTTCGTCAGCGTCAGAAATGACGAACTGTCCCTCAGTGAGCTTACAAAAGCACCGCGTACCATGGCACTCGAAGTTAGGTGTGGGTTGCAGGCAGGCTGCGCGCCGGGAACGGGAAGAGTGATGAGGTCCACCGTTGTCCCGACCGGTGGATTTGGTTTTGGCACGACCACCTGGGCTGATTGGACACGAGACTCAGCCGTGGGAGTCTGCACAGTCCTTTGAAACCGAGGGCTGGCAGAATGCCTTTCGAAAGGCTGGAGGGCTGCTTCGTTCTCAACTGTGCTTGGCAATTCTTGGCAGAGAATCCTACGACATCTGCAGGGAACACGACTATCGCTGTCAGATTGCAGATGCTTGCTCTGCTTCGAAGATGGACATTGGCACGTTCAGGCGCCAAGTTGCAGGATTCGATGGATCTTGTAACGCTTGACTGATGGTGTCGGCGACCAGTGCGCTCGCCAGCGACACAACCTTTTCATGCCATGAGCCCTGCTCTGCAACGTGGACGAACTTGCAGAAAACGGCGAGAGACGAACAGCGAATGGGTTCGCGCACATCTTTGCAAGTGGTAGCAAGATCGAATGCGAACTTGACAAAATGCTGCAGCCCCCGCCACCAAAGCCCGTGCAGTAGAGAGCATTTCCGCGAGAGAGCGCAAAAGAGAAAGCGAGGGAGAGAAAGAGAGAGAGAGAGACAGAGAGAAAAAAAAAGAAGACGAGGATTGCTTCGCCCCGAGTCACACACCAGACTCCTGAAGGTCCCAAACCCTTCAACTCCGAAAGCCATGGCAGGCCTGGCCCTGCACGTCTTGGGCCACGGATGCTTCAGTCGTCGTACTCGGCTCTGGCGTTGTGGTTTCGGATGCCTCTCCCAAGGCATCTCTGAGAGCGTTGCCACAGTGCCGGTTCCGTTGATGATACATCTATAGTCTATAGCATGTAATTCAAGGATAGGAGAAACGACGACTATGGCTCCAGAGTGAACATCCGAACAACCCGAATTTGTGTCGAGCAGCGAACGGAACGAAGATGCCGAATAAACCGAAACCCCGCGCGGCCACGCACCAGAACCCACTGAGGTCCTCAGTCTGCAGGCGAATGGTCAGACTTTTCGAACTGCCGGGCCGAGAATCCCAATCCCTGAGCCTGCTTATCTTCTGAAGCTCGTCAGAACTCACCGGTGCACGACGTGCTTCTTTCTATTCCTTCCCACGACATGTCCCGACAACTGCTTTGCAGCTTGACAGGAAGCTCATCCAACGGTCCCTGGCGACTTCCAAGCGTTGATCTCTCAAGGTGATTCATGCACGGAACATTTGAAGAAGCATCTTGCAGACATGGCACTGCTGTAATGCCTGCAGCTTGCAGCTCTGTGGCGGTTGGGCGAGAGACTGCTGCCTGCAGGGCCATGCAATTGACTCAGGACTCTGGATTGTGATGTCTCACAAACATGACCGGAACGGGGTCCTGCGTCCACGTGTTGTCGGCGCCAAGCCGGACGCAGGCTGCGCGGGCAGGGTACGATGTGTTCTGCGTCAACCTGCTCATCACGGGTCCTACAGTCCTACGGTGCTCCTCGGCCGGAGAGAGCCCGCCGGGCAAGAGAAAGCATCCGCAGCCTCCAATAGGTCTTCGCGGTCGCAGGGCTTCCCTCAGTCTGCGACAGGCCAACAAAAGTTGAACACTCGAAACCCATCAAAGCACAATCCAACCAAACAGACATCCGATCATTACAACAACCCGAACACCGACCCTTGACACTTTGAGTCATTGCTGTTTTCGTCCCCGGATGATGTTGCTCTTATTCTTCATCCTGATCTTGCATTTGCAACCTCTCATGTTTGGGTGTGCCTGGGCTTCCTGTCTGAACAGCTGGCAGGCATTACTCGCCAAAACTGCGCATGTCAAGAGATTGGCTCTAAGACTCAAGCTGCCCCCCTGTGAATCAGCTTCCTACAGCCCGCTACAGCGTGGGAATTTCGGACGATTTGAACATGGGAGTGGACAGGCAAGGAAGCAATCTGAATTCTTCGGCTTCGGCGCTCCAGTGCCGGGGGCTGGCACAGAGTGTGTCTTTACGGGCACAGCAATTCCAACCTCTCCGCAGTCTTACTGCCCTTCTAATCCTTTCACGAGTTCCTGTTGCTGCGACATCTTCAAACCAGAGCGAGCCACCACGATGTCGGCCCAGGACTGAGACTCCACAGTCGCAAGATTCGCCTTTGCTGCCCGTGTCAGCTTTACCCCTGGTGGCACCAGCAACGTCGGGGGACTAACAATGCAGGATGCATGACTCCATGACCGAGTCCTGACAACTCAATGTTCTTTCCGGGAGCAATGTTCCCTTCGCCGCATGCTGGACAGGATGTCCCCACTTGGTTCGATGCTAGGAATGAAATTCAAGTCAGCTGCGTGGAGAAAATGATGTCCAAGCCTTCCACTGGCAGTGCCCACAGATATCGTCCTCACACCCCGCAGGCTTGGAAGCAGAGAGTGCTGATGGGTGCTGTGCCGCTGCTGCAATGACTCAACATTCCGACCAGACGAGAGGCTCTCCGCCCGAGGGACGATATGCGGCAGTTGGAGGAATCCAGGTTGCTATGTTTTCACGCTCATCTATGGCGCCGACCTGATTTCTCAGGCTCATGCAGCAAGCACCGTGGCTCCAGCATCTTGACATTAGGGCCAGAACCAATAGCGCCGGGTATAGCAGCTGCTGGACGTACCTCGCACTTCGGGGTATACTGGCCACTCATGCCTTCAGCACTGAGGAATACCGATTGCGGTGAGGATTGTTGGACACGGCAACGTGCACTTGGAAGTCTTGCTCACATCTCCGAGGCCCCTTGCTCACAAATGCCAATGCCGTGCCGATGTTTCTTGCAAGCCAAGTAGCGCATTTGAGAATGCTGCAAAAACGGAACGAGTGTCGCCTGGTCTCGCCGCCTCCACTTGTATCAAAGACGGCGGCCTAAGCTCGATAGGAGAAAGAAACATGCCGCTCAAGTTTCGTGCTTGGTGGGAAAGCATGGGAAAGATCACAGTTCATGGAGACATCACGAAGGCAGAACCACCCAAAAAGGCTTCTGTAGCGAGCAGGCTTAAGTGGGCACTCCAAGGTTCGAGTCTGCTGCATACGGGTTCGTCAGCAGCGTAAGAGCTAGAATGGCACCGAGCACTGTATCACTTCTCGCCAGTGTTACCTGGCAATGGTACTGGCAACGGCGTTGTCTTGCCTCTCACGGGAACGATATCGCGCCTGCGTCTTGGAGAGATCGGTCCTTGCTGCGTCCAAGGCCAGGGACACAAACGGACTCAGTTCCTCGGCGACCTCGGCCAGCTTCTTTCAAAGGCCGTGCGCAGGGTTACGTGCAAAGTGCGTGCGCATGACTGCTGCGGGTGGGTTGATGGCGGCAGCAGCAATAATAGCAGTGGCGACTAGAAAATAAGCGCGGACCGCAAGCAGTGAGGGAGCACCCAAGACTCCACCCCATGAGCCCGAGAATGACCCCCTCCCTCAGACTCTCCGGACAAAAATGCACACGTCGCTGTGACGGAAGCACGACGCCGCGGAAGAATCTCGAGCCCCCGCACCAAAAGCCCCGAGGCGAATATCCTGCCCTGTATTCGAGCACTTTCTGGCCATTTCATAGCAAGGATGAGCATGGGGCTGTTGCAGGATGTGGGGAGAGTGCAAGTCCACCCAACAACGCCCCCATACGGTTGATGCTCAAAATCCTGCATGACTTTGCACATTACCACAGCTCCCCTGCCACCCCTAATCTTAATATTGCATTGATGCAGGGATTCAAACCAAGGCCTGTGCGAATGCCCAAAATCTTGCATGACCCCATGGTGGTCCAACGTTGAAATTAAGGGGTTGCGGGGAAAAGGACAGCGCAACGTGAGCTATGTGCGATGACCTAGGTCATGCATGATCTTGGGCATCAACAGCAGTGCAGGGCGCTCTGGCGGGTGCACGATTCGTCAAGTTGGAAGAAATTTACAATGAATCTGGCATCCTGGTCGGACACACCTCGCAGAACTGTCCAAATCATGTTGCTCTGCATGTAAGAACCCCTTCGAGTTGCAACATTGTTTGGGGAACTATATAGTAGTCCTTGAGCCGTCGTAGGCAGTGGTAGAATGTGGTGGCGTTATCTCCCCTGGTCAAGCACCCGCACACGTCCAGGGTGATCTGGAAAGGGCATGAAAATGCCGAAAATCACAGATTTTTGCGGAGTTAGGGTAGTGGCAATAGTAGTGGTGGTTGTCGCAGCAACAAGAGAAAGTACTAGTGGTGATAGTAGTAAAAGTAATTCGCCTCGGCCCAGCCGAAGCGGTCAGAGGTTCCTATTCGGATTCCCTGTATTCCCCACCTCTTGATCCCCACTGCTGGACCCTCGCCCCCCTACGGTGAATTCTCGCCTTCTCTAACGGATTTTGGTTCTCTGTAGGCAGTCCCACCCACCTTCCTCCTCCGCTCCCCCTCTCCCCGCTCCCCTCCTTTCCCCCAAACTTCCTAAACCCCACGCCTCTGTCAAAAAGCATGTTCCGCGTCTCAAACAGGCAGCGGTCGTTCCGGTGCCAGCGCAAGCTCCATCCGCTGCTGCTACGACTTGTACAAGGCTCAGAAGCTGAAGCTTGCGAGCTGTCGGCTACAAAACTTACAGGCTCGGAAATTTGGTCTTGAAGGTTTTAGGCAGGAAGGTGCAGGGTTCCACGAGTTAACCCTTTGGCGGATTGCGGGCATTGGAGATTCAAGCATCACTATCGCCCAGCTAGGGGCTATGTCGAATATCAGGCAGAGGATTCGGAGATGCAACAATTTCACATCAATCGCATAAGTAGTTCTCTAAATCACGCTCCTGCTCTGCCCCGCCCTGCCCTGCCCTGCCCTAAACCCTAAACCGTTTGAGGGAGCAAGTCGTTACGGGATGAAGGTGCGCAGTTTGCATACCTCATCCAACCCTAAGAGCCGGGAAAACAAAGGAAAAATGGATACCACTTAGACTAAGTTTTAGGGTTTGAGGGTCCTTCAAGGACGCCTTCACAGTGCGCTTGCTTCCGTCACGGCCGGGCCGAGGCGGACGACGCGAAGCGTTTAAAATAAAAGTAGTAGTCTTAGTAGTAGTAGTAGTAGTAGTAGTAGTAGTCGTCGTCGTCGTCGTCGTCGTCGTCGTCGTAGTCGTGGTCGTAGTAGCAGCAGCAGCAGCAGCAGCAGCAGCAGTAGTAGTAGTAGCAGCAGCAGCAGTAGTCGTTGTCGTAGTAGTAGTCGTCATTAGTAATTAGTAGTACCCGTAGCAGCAGCAGCAGCAGCAGCAGTAGCCGTAGCAATAGCAGTAGCAGCAACAGCAGCAACAGCAGGAACAGGAGCAGGAGCAGGAGCAGGACCAGCAGCAGCAGCAGTTGTAGTAGTCGTAGCAGTAGTAGCAGCAGCAGCAGCAGCAGCAGGAGTAGTACCAGTACTACTACTAGTAGTAGCAGTAGTAGTAGTAGTAGAAGAAGTAGTAGTAGTAGTAGCAGCAGTAGCAGTAGCAGTAGCAGTAGCAGTAGCAGTAGCAGTAGCAGTAGCAGTAGCAGTAGCAGTAGCAGTAGCAGTAGCAGTAGCAGCAGTAGTAGCAGCAGCAGGAGGAGTAGTAGTAGTAGTAGTGGTAATGGTGTTCGCACTTGACTGTCGCCGTAGTCAGTAGCAGTAGTCGTGCCCGTGTGACAGTGGCCGTAGCACCGGTAGCAGCAGCATGGGCAGTGGCAGCAGCAGCAGCAGTAGCGGCAGCAGTAGCAATAGCAGTAGTACGGTACCTTACACTGTCGTCACAGTAAGCAGTATGCAAGTGATGACAAGCCACAATATCGATCCCTCACCATCTCACCATGTGTGTCGGTGTGTCACTGTGTGTCAAGGACCGGGGTACTTCTAAGGCAGATTTGAGGAAAGGCAGGTTTTCCTTGCATTTCGGCAGAGTAATAAGTGTTAACTGCATAGTGTGCCGTTTCTACAGTTAACACTCAGTTAACACTCAGTTAACACTACAGTTAACACTACAGTTAACACTGCCGAAATACCGCAAAAACCAGCTTTTTGCAGAATACACGCATTTTAAAAAGAAAAACTGGTAGTTTTAGTGTCTTTTATACACATTTGAAGAAAATGCTGGTTTTTGCAAGTGTTAACTGTAGTGTTAACTGTAGTGTTAACTGAGTGTTAACTGAGTGTTAACTGTAGAAACGGCACACTATGCAGTTAACACTTATTACTCTGCCGAAATGCAAGGAAAACCTGCCTTTCCTCAAATCTGCCTTAGAAGTACCCCGGTCCTTGACACACAATGACACACCGACACGCATGGTGAGATGGTGAGGGATCGATATTGTGGCTTGTCATCACTTGCATACTGCTTACTGTGACGACAGTGTAAGGTACGACAGGATCCTTCTCTTCAAATGTGTATAAAAGACACTAAAACTACCAGTTTTTCTTTTTAAAATGCGTGTATGCTGCAAAAAGCTGATTTTTGCGGCATTTCGGCAGTGTTAACTGTAGTGTTAACTGTAGTGTTAACTGAGTGTTAACTGAGTGTTAACTGAGCGTTAACTGTGGGAAATGTAAGGATTTTACACTAAGCCAAAATACACGAGGAGCTGTGGGAGTCCCACCGGAGTGCCGCGGAGCGGCATGGAGCAGACTTGGATCGAAGTGGAGTACCCGGGTCAGGGTGCTAAAAAAGTCGCATCCTGGAAGCCTGCAACCACAGTCGGCTTGTGTGGTCTTGGGCCGTACCTATAGCAAGCAGCGGTGCCAACAAGCTTGCCGTATCGCTTTCTCGGACATGTATCGGGCTTGGTCTGCATGTGGATGGTACCCGTCACAGGATGCGTGGTGCAGTCGATTGAAGACACAGGCTACTTTGTCTCAGCGAGAAGGATCCTGTCGGCTGATGGAGGAAATCTTGCACCATCTGCCTAGTAACAGGTGACACGACACTTGAGCATAACCCCGCACCCCCGTTTTAACATTGAAGATGATGGATACCGAGGTGGTGCAAGATTTTTGTCATTGGAACCCACGGCACTTCCGAGGATCACCGGTCAATGTTAAAAAGGGGGAGTGGGGTGTCTGCTTGGCTTGGCCAATTAAACTGGTGCAAGAATTCCTCCATCAACAGTAGCACTAGAAGACAGTAGGAGTGGCACAGTACTGTACCAGTAGTAGTGCTAATGGTCGTCGTCGCTGTCGTAGCCGCAGTCGTAGGCAGTGCAAGCAGTAGAAGTTGACGTGGTACAAGCAGAAGTAGTGGTGGTGGTAGTAGCTAGTAGTACTGCTACGACCACCCCGACCACCAATTCCGCCACCACCAGTAGTAGTATTACTACTGCTGCTGCTGCTACTACTGCTACTACCACGACCACCACCAGCATCACCACCACCACCACCACCACCACGGTTAGTACTGCTGCTGCTGCTGCTACTGCTACTGCTGCTACTGCTGCCACTGCTGCTACTACTACGACGACTACTACTACTGCTACTACTACTACGACTGCGTTCTCATAGTATGAAAAGCGATCAGTCGTAGTACCCGTTACTAGTAGTTCATTTCCTGCAGGCGACCATGGGAACAGTAGTATTGACAGCGGTGGTAGTTTTCGTCGTCATTGTCAATGCAGCAGTGGTGGCACTTCCACAAGAAAAGGCTGCCATAGGAGCAGTAGCAGACCCTGGTGCGACACCGTAACTCGGGATCCAACAGCTATCAACCACAGCCCACTCAGGACGCTGCGTATTCAGACAGTGCCTTCACTGTTGAAACCGCGGGAGCTCCAACCCATCTGTGTGGATCGAAGCTTCCCGGCGCATCTGCGCCGCTTTGAATATTCCAATAGGCGGCACGCCAAGCAGCTCTGGATGAGTTAACACCTTCCCTGCGCTCCACCCGACCACCCACGAAGTCGCGTGCAGTGCCAACTCCGAGCTCACCGGGAATCCCAAAGATATCGATGATGTTGTCTGAGACATCTATGATTCCAATGCTGTCGCCACCGTTGGAGTCCGCTGCACTTGCTTCATGATGGCATGTGGCAGGTGTGTACAAGGAATCGAATATAGCTTTGTCAGAGCAAACGATGAGGAAGCCACTAGGGGGGAGAGATGTCAAGGTTCCCAGGTCCGTTGCCGAGGAGGACGAATACACAAGGTTGCCGTTCCTCAGTGGTCTGAACTTTCCCTCCTGAAGCTTCTACGTATTATTGAGATCTAACAAACTTGGCACGAACGCATACAGAAGTGCGGAGAAGGTTTCGTCCACTGCACCAAGCGGAGGCCTACCATTGAACGAGCATCCAGACAACGACAACTACGCACCTTTAGTCTTGACAATGATAGTGAGGCAACCGTACCCACAGAAACAAACGGAAGCATGCCGAAACCAAAGGGGAGGACCGGCGAGAGACTGGCCGTTCACGGAGTACAACTCGACATAGCGCCCTCCGGCGTTGTTTCTCGGATCAGCAATCTCCGTGATGAAGACCTGCGCCGCCCCGTGCCCCACCTTCCCACAAGACCCGTCAGATACTCACAGCAAACAGCCTCCTGCGCCGCTAACTGCCGCTTTGGCTGCCAACCCGAAAACGTTCGACCTTGAACAAATGTCATTCGGCTTGCATCCCAAGGCACATCCGTGACCGGCATCGGTGTCGTGGTCGTTGTTGTCGTCGTTGTCGTTGTGGTCGTTGTGGTCGTTGTGGTCGTTGTCGTCGTGGTAGTTGTGGTCGTTGTCGTCGTTGTCGTTGTGGTCGTTGTGGTCGTTGTGGTCGTGGTCGTCGTTGTAGTTGTGGTCGTTGTCGTTGTAGTTGTGGTCGTTGTCGTTGTCGTCGTTGTCGTTGTCGTCGTTGTCGTTGTGGTCGTTGTTGTCGTTGTGGTTGTGGTCGTTGTCGTCGTTGTCGTCGTGGTTGTCGTGGTTGTCGTGGTGGTTGTGGTGGTTGTGGTCGTTGTGGTCGTTGTGGTCTTGGTCCAGGTCGGGCTCAACTAGTCTCCGAAAATCTTAACCCGGCAACCCACCAAGCCGATACAATGGACCGTAACAGGCGCCCGAAAGGAAACCGAATCTCCATGTGCTTGCTTGTTGAGAGCGGGGTGAGGCGGCTTGGTTGCGGCAGTCTGGATATTGAGCTTTGGGCTCCATCGAGACAGCTGCCCCTGGCAATTTTTGTCGCAGATTCAATAGTTAAGTAGACTAGTTTGCTTCGTCGTCACGGCTTCGAGCCAGTTTCAGTTGATCGAAGCTGGAAGCACGGGGTTCCACAGTTCAACGACATCGGCTAGGCCCAGTTGGATCAGAAGTAAGAATAGTGTTCTGAGGAGCGATGCCTGAGGCAATAAGATCCACGGCACAACCCAGGCGTAGACGGCGTAGAGAGAGAGGGAGAGAGAGAGAGAGAGAGAGAGACTGGGAGAAGGAGTGAAGCCGCTCACAAGCCACTTCTCGAAGCCGCGTGCAGAATGAGAACAAACATTAACCTCGTCGACTGTGCACCGGACGCAAACAACCGCAGATCCTCCCGGGCCACACTTGTCGGGACAGCCGCCACAGCTGGCACAGGTCCAGTTTGCTTCATCTTCCTTGACAGCGGAATTCTTGTTCAAAAGACTTGAGAACCACGGAACAAACACCCAGCAAACATGATGAATAAAGAAATAAAGCGGCACATTCCTCGCAGTTGCACTCGCCGTCGTTCCTCTGTAACAAGGGAATCCAGCATCTTTCACAGGCGAAGAAGAGATCTCCAGCTCTTGGCCCGCATCCGAAACCTGTTCCGCAATCCAGCTCGCCGGAAGGGCAGCTACACGTCGTGCAATCCCATCGATCTTCATCTTCACACCCGGTGCAGTCGCACTTGTTGTCGTTCCTGGTAGAGTTTGGCAATGTGCAGCCATCGTTGCACTCGAATTTTACCTGGGTTGTTAGGAGAATCGCTGTTGCGACGGTCCAGCATGCAAATAAAAGCCCCCCCCCCCCCCCCCGCCACACGCCAAAAATGAGCGTGCGCGGGCATACATTAGGCACACACTGACTCAGGCAGATCATACCCGCTTCAAGGCCCGGGTACTCCAGTAAAGCATTGACCTACACGGGATCCTAGACGCATGCGACATGCACGCGTTGCTGCACAAGACAATGCAAACGGCGAAGTACAAGCTAAATCGCTCCATGAAGCGTATCAATGCTCAGAACGTCACGATACAGACTGATCACCCGCAACCCGGCAGCGCGTGAACTTGCAAGTCTTTGAAGAACCATCGTCCAAGCAGCAGGACAAGGCTTGCCGGGTTCGCCGCAGCTTGTAGGGCAGCCACACTCCTCGCAGGACCAATGCACCTCAAGCAAGGCAGGGCTACGTGCCAAAAAGCTTAACAAAGCCACACAAAATCAGCAAAACTAAATGGCTTTCTGAAGCAGCACCTCATCTTCACACTGCCCACAATCGCAAAAGCCGTTGTTGATCTTCGTGCCGTCGATGGCACAACCGTCGTTGCAAGTAAAGTTGTCGCCTTACTGCGTATCAGCTTCGAAGCCACAGGTCCACGCTCTACCGATGCTCGCTAGTCCCTAAATGGGTTGCAGCTTGGATTCCTGGAAACCATGAGCACCATTTGTTTTCCATGGCGCAGCTAGTTGCAGAACAGCCTTGGGCGCAAAGGTCGCAGGTCCAATCCTCTTCGTCCTCACAGTCGGCGCAATCGCAGTAACCATCGTTTATGGCAAAGGAGCCAGGATCGCAGCCATCGTTGCATGTGGGACTCCCACCACCGTCCCCCGTTGGCCCGTCACCGTAGCCGGGGCTGCCGTATCCGGGGCTGCCGTATCCACCCGGGCTTGACAGACAGCTCGTGTATTGACCGCATCTGCTAGGACAGGGGCAAATGACACAGTCCCAGCTGGTTTCGTCCTCGCATTCGGCACAGTCACAATGATCGTCGTTCAGGAAGGTTGAGGATATCACACACCCATCGTTGCAGGCGAATGTAGTGCCCTTAGCCAATGTCCGGGACAATTCCAACACTTGCCGTATGCGGATTGCTGGCGACTGTTACTGAAGTACATCGTGCTGGTGGCAGACCGAACTTACAGAACCGTGTGCGTAGAAAGGGTAGACATACGCAATATCAAACTCTGAGGAGTCCCTTGGATTGCTCAGGGCTGATCGGATGGCTGAGTGCACAAGCTGCGATTCGGATTTTTGCCGAGGGACTTGGGCCAGGCTCGGTCGGCCTGGGCCTGATTCCTGCGCTCCAACTGTTGGTAAAAAAGCTCTTCAGGAAGTTTGGGCGTACGCTTGGTTTCGGCAGCGCTTTCACCATGCGGTCACATTGCTTCACCTGTTCTTGTCTCCATTTTGAACCACATGTCTTGAAAACCTCTGCTCTGTGTCTCAAGCTGATAACCTGCTACTGATTTCCTAGCTCGCGCGCTAGGTGCATGCAAGGGACGAAGGCAGCCAGCAGAAAGAAGACCAAACGATAGAACATCCGCGCTTGTGGCTTTCGTGTTGAAGCACTAGCAATCTGCAGTTGTTGCTTCTGCGGCTTCGGCTTGGATTGTCATACTTGCTATGCGAGGGTGCCCATCCAAACTGGAAGACCTTCAACAATCGAAACGTTAAATAAGTGTGCTGGCAGTGGGATATGTGCATGTATGATTGACAGTGTTGTCTGAGAAGCTGCCAGAGCCTCACCTGGTAGACAAAACAAGCAGCTGCGGTCGCGGTCCCTTACTTTCGATTTCGTAATGTCTCAACACATGGAATACATCCGCAAACTCAGATAATCAAGGGATGATCAGCCGGATGTCCGAACTTGAGTGATGAACATTTGTTCGCTGTAGCATTTACTTTGGTGCACAGACAGCGAGAAGCGGCAAAGCAAGACTCACTGAGATGCGCACCCTGGCAAGGCGTTCTGCTTTGGTCCGCCTCTGGTTAGCAGAACACTGCTGTTGATATATTCAGGCCGCGAAGAGATTCCTGACTCCTCACCCTTTTCCCGTGAATTGTGCAACCTCGCGCCACCTACTTCACGCCTACTTCGTGCTCACTTCTTTGTCAGAAAGGGAGGCCCGGGTCTACCCTTACCTATGCAATGTAAGGCTGCAATGGCTCAGACCCCTGCAACAGCAGTACTCAGGTGCTGGCGCCCTTTTGGGGGCAGCAGCGAGCATGTCTGCGGAAACTTGATCCGGCAGACGGCCTTTTCAGTGCCGATTCGGTCAAACCAACAACATCTAGGGGCGCAGCATTCCAGCTGCAGAAACTGTAGTCTGGCCTAACTTAACTTAGCTGCTTGAACTGAACGCCTGACTGCACACCACTGCACACGCTTCTGGTCGCCTGTGAGCCCGCGCTCGTCCTCCTCTGCATCAGCATCGGAATCGCCTTGGTCCACCCGATCTCTTAACCCGGCCACTGCCCTGTTCTCATGCCCAAGCCCAGGCTGCGGCTGCGAATCAAAACAGAATCTCTTCTTGTCACGGACAATTCAAGCGTCGCACTGCCGGAGTTTGAAGAAGAGCTCATCTCCTAGCAGACTCCGAGATTCGCGATGGCACAAAACTGCCACCAGTCGCTGCTGCGACAAGCACTACCACTACAGCGACTCCTCCGCTGGTCGCTTGCGGCCCATTTGGAGCCTGCGGGGGTTCCCCAAATCGGAGGAAGTAGTCTTGGATATGTTGGCTCCCAAACAGAAGCTTCAGACGTCCGCATCAAGAAGCAACAACCTGGAATTCCAAATTCCTGGAAACGGTCTGTCATCAGGGCACTCGATGGACTTCTGCAGACGAAGCTTTCGAAGCTGCTTGAAGTCATCCGGGCTCAAGACCTCCCAACTCTGCTGGTGATTTTATCAATATCTCAGTTGCAGTGTCGGCAAGACATGAGCAATGTGGTTGGAATTGCTGCATTCAACAGACCGCGACAGCTACAAATTGAGCGTCTGCTGGGTCTGCTTCTCGGATTCGCTCTAGTCGTCTGGCAAACTTGTGAATGCACCCCGAGGCCTAGACCGCAGCTATGTCAGATCACGACAAAGTACAGGTCCGTATGCATGCAGTCAGGCAGGCAGGCAACCAAGTATGTACGTATGCATGTTGCACGTATGCATGTATGTATGCATGCATGTATGTCTGTATGCACGTAACATGCACGTATGTGTGCTGGATGCATGTTTGCAGGTTGCAGGTATGCATGTATGCAGCATGCATGTATGCATGAATGCATGAATGCAACCATGCAACAATGCACGAATGAATGAGTGGATGAATGAATGAACAAGTGAATGCATGCATGCAACAATTCACAAATGAATGAATGAATGCATGAATGAATGAATGAATGAATGAATGAAAGAATGAATGAATGAATGAACGAACGAACGAAGGAACGAAGGAACGAAGGCATGAAGGAATGAAGGAATGAAGGAATGAAGGAATGAAGGAATGAAGGAATGAATGAATGAATGAATGGAATGAATGGAATGAATGGAATGAATGGAATGAATGAATGAATGAATGAATGAATGAAATGAATGAAATGAATGAAATGAACGGAATGAATGGAATGAATGGAATGAAAGGAATGAATGGAATGATGAATGAAATGAATGAATGCATGAATGAATGCATGAATGAATGCATGAATGAATGCATGAATGAATGCATGAATGAATGCATGAATGAATGCATGAATGAATGCATGAATGAATGAATGAATGAATGCATGGATGAGTGCATGAATGAATGCATGAATGAATGCATGAATGCATGAATGCATGCATGAATGCATGCATGAATGCATGCATGAAATGCATGAATGCATGAATGCATGAATGCATGAATGCATGAATGCATGAATGCATGAATGCATGAATGCATGAATGCATGAATGCATGAATGCATGAATGCATGAATGCACGAATGCATGAATGCATGAATGCATGAATGCATGAATGCATGAATGAATGAATGAAGGAAGGAAGGAAGGAGGGAAGGAAGGAAGGAAGGAATGAAGGAATGAAGGAATGAAAGAATGAAGGAATGAATGAATGAATGAATAAGTGAATGCATGAATGCAACAATTCACAAATGAATGAATGAATGAATGAATGAATGAACGAATGAATGAATGATTGATTGATTGAATGAATGAATGAATGCATGAATGGATGAATGGATGAATGGATGAATGGATGAATGGATGAATGGATGAATGGATGAATGGATGGACGGATGAACGGATGAACGGATGAACGGATGAACGGATGAATGGATGAATGGATGAATGGATGAATGGATGAACGGATGAACGGATGAAGGGATGAAGGGATGCATGGATGCATGGATGCATGGATGCATGGATGCATGGATGCATGGATGGATGGATGGATGGATGGATGAATGGATGAATGGATGAATGGATGAATGGATGGATGAATGGATGAATGGATGAATGGATGAATGGATGAATGGATGAATGGATGAATGGATGAATGAATGAATGTATGAATGAACGAATGAATGAATGAATGAACGAACGAACGAATGAATGAATGAATGCGTGAATGCAACAATGAATGAATGAATGCATGAATGCAAGAATGCACGAATGAATGAATGAATGCATGAATGCATAAATGCATGAATGCATGAATGAATGAACTAATGAATGAATGAATGAATGAATGAATGAACAGAACGAACGGATGTATGTATGTCTGTGCATATGTCTATGCGCATGTACAGGCAGATGTGTATGTGTGTGTAGGTGAGTGCGTATGTGTATGCGTATGTGCGTAGGTACGAGTATTGGCATGCATCCAGGCAGGCATGGATGTATGGTTGGATGGCCAGATGAGTAGATGTATGAGTACCCAGCGAGCCTTCTCGGCCATGAGATCTTTCCTCACGCATGTCATGGACATGGCAAAAACAAAACTCTCCGAAGGACGGAAGCCCAACTCTGCAGCACAGAGTTCGCTGTCAACTGAAATAGACAACTCAAGGACGCGGCGCATCCGCAGCAGTCCCATCTTCCACCTCGCGGGCGAGTGTTCACCAACGTCTCCGTCCATCCGGCAAGTCTGTCACACGCGACCTTTCAACTTAGAAGCTGCTGTTTGCGGTGTGGCTGTCTCGTGCAATGCGTGAGATGGGAGGATTCTCCAGTTTGGACTGTCCTCTGAAATCCGATGGCAGGTTGCTGACACAGCAGGTAGATAATCTACCGCGTTGTGCCATAGTCAGAAAGGCCTTGTGCTTCTTGGATGCCGCAAGTAGGTCAAGCCCTTCGATCTGCTCCGATGCCTCGAAGCCGCCAAGCATGAGCAAACCATTTTGCATTGCAAAGCTGTCTCTTGCCTGGAGCTCGCCGAACTGCGGGGTCTGCACTTCTCCTCTGCCTAGGAAACGAAGACCCTCAAAAAGATTCGGTTGCCCGATTATCTGGCACCGCTGTCTTTCAGGGCATCGTTCTCCACCACACCGAGATCATGCGAACGAGGCCTGCTGCAGACTGACTGCTCTACCCTCTTATTCCAGGGGCCACGCTGACGGCCATCGTCGCTTCTCGACCACGTAGTGAGCGGTGTAGCAGCTGTGGATGAAGCCTGAAGCCGGAAAACAAAAGGAGAGCTGCTTGACGCCAGCACGCAGTCACCTGAATCCTTGATGCAACATGCGCCATTGATTAAATTTCAAAAACGGTGCACAGTCGGATTTAAGTTGAGCTGTCCATGTCTTTTGCCCGAAATACCACAGCCCATCCAGCCGGCACAACAACATGTAGATCATGGCGATGGATACCAGACGCTTAAGTACGACAGTATCCGTTTAGTTTTACAACGACTGTGCTAAGCGAACGATCTTGCATTTCAAGACAGTAGAAAGCGGAGATGAGGAATAAAGATGTGCCTGTCTCTTTCGCTTGTTTGGGTCCGATGCAGTGGCTGGGGCTTTGAAGAGAAGTCTGCTAGGTGAAGTAAGAACGAGATCTACCTTGGCCCTCACATCCAAGGTCAGAGCTCACGGTAGGTGTTGATGAGACTCTTCACCTCATGAGTGCCATCTGCCGGCAGACCGAGAAAGCTGTTGTCCCCTCCAGACGGCTACGTCTCACACACAAGACTTCTACCGCAACAGTGCTGGGCAAGCTGCTGCCATCGATACTCCTGGCCAAAAAAAGGGATCGAGACGAGCACTTGACGAAGCCGCACTGCGGCTGCCACCATCTGCAAGCGTTGCAGAATGGCCTTTGTTTTTGTGCTTGCGAAAGCTGCAAAGATCGGCCAGCCTTACACAGCAGTCAATGGCCCTCTCGCACAGAAGAGTTTGGATGAACTAGCTGGAAACAGCGTGTGCGGAGAATTCCAGGATTTGAGGTTGCAACTCATCTTCGGTCAGTATGTTGATGGACCTTTTGGTGATTCTGCGCAAGTTGAAGTATGCCGGTGCATGGACGAGTGAGACTCCTGCCTGGCACACACTTCTCGGATCGTGTTCAAGCCTCACGCGAGGGTTCCAAAGAGCGAGTGAAAACCGAAACCTGATCATCTCTCTCGATGCGTCCAGCATCAGACAGGATAAGCTTTCCACCAACTTCGATGATCTCAGGGGAGTTTGCCTCCGTGACGAAGTACCGAACCTTGCACACTGAAACACGCTGGCGAGTCAACAAAATTCCGATCACCATCTGAAGGATTGAGTATGTAGATACGAAACGGTACCTGATCCTGTCCTGTCTCAGAGCAGACTGCACTTCAACTGCCCAAGGCTGCGCGAAGCAACTGTGCAGGCGAGCTGCTATGTGCAAGATGACCGGTCGGACGTCGTCCTGGCAGAAAGCGCTTGCTGATGCCGCGTATGACATTCGCGACGAGCTACCAGCTTGTTGCCACGAGCCAGGCTGGCAGGTGGCACAGCGGGATGCGATGCCTGGCAATCGATGTGCACAAATCCACTGCGGCCCTTGCTGGGGCGCTGAACCACCTCTACCAACGCGGCCATCACTTTCGTAACCTCCTTCTGCGTTGGGACCTTTGACCGAGTCATTCTCCGACTGAGACTTTCTTCCTTTTGGGCACTTAGCTGAGACAGCAGCCAAATACTTCTGCAAGAACCTTCGCAAGTCTGGAGGCCGGCTTCTAACAATCACGTGTGCCTTCTTGGACCTGCTTGACTACCCTCTCGGAGACCCTTCAACAATCTTCACGACACCGCATGCCAGCTACGGCTCTATTGCCCAATTCCAGACCAAGTGCTCCAGTTTGGGAAGGAACTGGATCGATGGATGCCAAGGGGCGGATACAAGTTCAGCACCTGCAGTTGATGCCGACCGATTAACCTGATCCACACAGAACGTTCCCGGAGAGGCACCGGGTCGTGGGCTCTCAATGTTCACACTTTTCGAAGGGCACATGCTTCGGATTTCGGGCTTGGCACCATGGGCACTCTATTCGCAGCTTGTAAACTCTTGGTTTCTTCGGTGAACGCGGCTCCTGACATCCCTCCGCTGGACTCGACTCCGTTGCTTCATTTTTTGCTGGCACTGCCCCGGACACTGCCTGGCAACGAGGTGCAGCATCAGCAGTCGAAAAAGGAAGGGCTCGCCGCCCTGGCGAAAAACTGCGGTTTAGGGGTTTAGGGTTTAGGGGTTTAGGGCATGAGAGACCATGTCTTTTCACGTGGGAAGGGAACAGTACACCTCGCCCCTGCACTTACATGGGGATCCAAGCCTACACCCGCCTGACTGATGGGCGCTCTATAATGTGAATACATATATATATATATATATATCTATATGTGAATATATATATATACAGATATAGATATAGATGTACACACATAAATATGCAGGTGCATATATATCTTTCTCTTTCTCTTTCGTGGCGTTGAGTCAAAGTTTGACGCAGCCGATGCTTGCACCTAATTAAAACTTGGGGATTGGCTGGAACAGAAATCTGGACTTGAAAGAATAAACCGTCGCCCAGTTTGCACTCAGCCGGTGGGCATGGCAGAAGGGATTTAACCGGCGCAACTGCGAAAAACCGTCCCTCAACAGCCTTAGCCCACCAAACGAAACCAAAATCACAACACTGACTAAGTCAGTGCGGCAGTATGCACTCACCCCCACTATGCGAGCTGGTGCAGAAATCTGCCGGTTCAGCGGAACATATACAAGCAAACGTCGTCTGCAAAATCGCACCTGTGCCAGTCAGGCCCCCCATGAATGACCGCGAAAGGGCATCTCTGTATGACATTACTATAGTACATAATGCAGCGGGCCATGTGTGTGTACTGTGGAGTACAACAGACGTAACCAACATGGCAACCAGATTAGGGACAACCATATTGATCGCGACCAGTTGAAGGCGGACCAATCCCGTAAGGATGACCGTTTCAGGGATGTAGTCCACAAGCGGATGCAGTGGTATGGCACCAGATTCGTACGGAACTCGATGATGCCAACTTTCATTCAACTCTCCGTCCAGCAGCATGCGCTCCAGCAGCGGATATCCAAAGCCAGGTCCGGAACCTCTAGCATGCCTCAAACTTGCTGTGCTGCAAGCGTTACCTACGCCGAGCGCTCCGTAGCTGTCGGCCAGCTGCCTGACGAGTCGACCAAAGACCGAAACAACGATCCTGCCCTCAATCGCATCCGGTCCTTGGGCCAAACAGTCAGTAGCAGCTTCCGTACTTGCAAAGAGCAGGTCTGACAAGAGAAGCAACCAGTAATTTCCTGTGCACCTGTGGTCCACGACCGCATGCGCGAGAACCACGCAAGACAGATCAAAGGCATCATCGCCACCACCGCTGGTCCTGTAAAGCAGCTGTCTGTCGGGCGGGATGCCATGCCCGATGCAGAAAAGCTCCCAGCAGGCATCACCAACCGAACTCCCGACACAACTTGCAGAACCAGACGCCGTCTCTGGCAGAGGCTCCCACACTCCACGCCACACAGCGGAGATGCCCACTGTGTCAGGCAGCTCCGTGAACAAAACCATGCCCCTGCTAGCCATTGGCTCACCTGACTCAAGAAAGAAGGATTCCACAAAGTCAGGGCAAGTATGCTGGCGTGCATTCTGGCAAAGGCCACCAACAGCCTCCCCACCCGAAATGACGACCACACTGTCAATGCCATCTGGATCTACGCACGCAATGCATGTGTTCCCATCCGGGCAATCATGCCTCGCCGTCGTGGCATTCTCATCTCGGCAAAGCGTATTCCCACTCGGGCCATCGCAAAGCACATGATTGGCCGCAAGATCAGTTGAGCTAGTGTTGTCAAACCAAAGGATCCCTGCAGCGTCAAAGTCATTGCAACATGCAAACTCCGCGGGACCATCCTGCCACCGGTAACCCTTGACGTTGTAGTCTGCTGCCGGCTGCAAATCAACCCACGGGGCATCTTCCATAACACTCAGCGTTGTAGCACATGCACAGAAGTCCTTGTACCCTGGAAATGCAGTATGTCCCACCGTCACATCGCGGTAGCCAGGCCATGCACAACATCCACATGTCCGACATCTGGGCTGGAAACAGCGTGCTCCCTTCCCACCAGCCATGGGCCATATACCGAAGCACTGGGGTCTTGGGCAATACGGTGCGCTGTTGCACCGCTCGATCCCAGACCCTGGTGCATATATATCTATATATATATATATATATATATATATATACAGATATAGATATAGATGTACACACATAAATATGCAGGTGCATATATATATATATATATATACACGTATAAATAAATATATACGTATACATGTTTCCCTGCATGTATGTATGAATGTATGCCACTTTCACTTCATGTTGCAACGCTCCTTGCTCAAGCGCTGCAGCAGCTTTTCGGCCAGAGTCTGCGGGTCGTTCAGCAAATCCTCAGGGCAGCTGTATCATTCAGCAGTGTCCGGATGCACAGATCAAAACCCAGTGAGTTTCGAGCAATGGCAACGAAGCTCACGGCTGAGTTGTCTTTTTTGCCGTTTTTTCTCGCCTGCCGGGCAATCGACATGTCCGACAGAGGTAACAACAGCAACAGATCTCGGATGAGCTCACAGATGTCGCATCGATAAGGGAGTAAGTCGGGCACTGCTTTTTTGGCAGCCTGAAGCACGATACGGTGCTGGTGCCAAAACCCTAAGCCATGGCAACTAGTTAGTTGGTTTGCATATGTTTGCATGGTTTGCATCCGAGGCACTTTCTTGGCCCTTTTGAGCCTTTTCACTCTGTTGCCCGTCTTCTTGGCACCAACAATGCCCATGACGGCCTGCGATTCGGAAGCATAGTAGTTCAACTCAGGGCACTGCAGAGTCAGACTCCGCTTTGAACCACCCCCAGGCCTCGTTGATATTGTCGTCCTCTTCTTCGTCGTCACTCTCGTCGAGGATGCCCTCGAGTCCCTGCCAGCTGCCAGACATTTAACGAAGCTGCGCACAGACTCCGACAGGTGCAGTCGTTCGGCCGTGTTCGGCCTTGGTCTTGTTCCCAAGGAATAAGTGTGCCAATGCCTTGGAGGACGCTTCGCGGAGAATGGAGCGAGGCACGGCTGTCAGGGTTCCCACAGCCGCAATCTTCAAATCAGGATGCAGCAGCCCGGCACCTCAGCAACATCGGTCTGAACTGCCGGAAGCCACAGCAGTTCTGGGGACCCTGCTCATGAGGTTTGCCACATGCGTGTCGCACCAGACCTCAGGAGTTCTTCCCGATCTCGACACTGCAAGTAGCAGCAGCCAAGACTCATGCATCGGCTGCATCTGAGGATCTAACATTTTGTCGGTACCTTGAGCTCTGGCGAAGATAGAGTCTGAACTTTTGAGGCAGGCTGAAAGACGCATGACCACTGATCGAAATGAACTTGCCTGTGGATTTTTTCAGGAAGTGGATTTCAGGAGGCCCCGGATTGCAGCAGTCCGTTGCTTCGAATCTCGGACAGTTGGTATATCAATCCAAATTCATGCAGCCCAGCGTCATGGTAATGAAGACAGCACAAGCATGCCGGCAGACCTGCGCAAGCAGAGGAATAGGCATCGCCACTTGCTATCCACATACAATGACTTCGATTTTCACTGCTCCCTGGCCCTTCGGGTCCAGGTAGCGACGGGCACAAAGCAATCTGCAGAAGAAACTGGAAGGGAGAGTTAGCCGACGAGATAAAGGACCACTGAAAAGCTGCAGTGTGATACGATTGTTCACTATGCTTTCTACCGTTAAAGTTCGCCTAACTTGCCTGGCATGTCAAACTCCGTCCGTATACTCCTCCTTCTCACGAATTGACTCAGCCGCGTCGTGGCAGTTACTTCTGCCACCAAGCTCCCACAGCCCCAAACCCCAAACCCAACGGTGATGCGGTGATCCTGTTCCTTTTGCTTGATTACTGTTATCAGTCGCTTACTGATGCCAGTCATATTTGTATCTGTACTGCTACATAACAAAGCTACACCAAGAGCATTTGCATTGTCAGCATTCTTACTGCCATGAACTACTTGAGATGTGCCTTTCAATACTGCTACGAGCATTGTCCTCATGGCTCCTGGAGTTGTTGTTCTGGATATGTCTACTCCGAGTCTTCTATGCTCTTGCCCCGTGACAACATCCCCTCAGAGGCCCAGGTGCCTCGGTCTCGGATTCCTTCAGCCGTGCGAAGAAAAAGTCACGCAGCTCGAAGTTGACCTTAGTGCTCATGTGGCACACAATCGCCCGGGCTTTTGACTCAAACGAAGTTCACTAGCACTGCTCGCAACGGCTTCCTAGTTTTGTCACACAAGACTGTGGCGGTATTTAGCATTGAGGTATCATGGTAAAATTGACGGGCGGGTACCTGAACTTAAGAGTATAGTGGCCTGCTGCCGAGTGGCGTTGTACGGTGGCAATATAGTACTGCGACAACCCGATGATTTCAGATATGTGTATAAGAATGACCAGCAGTGTCAGGACGCTGCAGCAGATAGCGGCACAGAAGTACGACTCGACAATATGATGGACATTGAGCGCTGCAAGGAGATACAAGGAGGCAGTTGAAGCGCGACAAAACCCAATTTCTCACCGGCAGCTTCAGCCTGAGAGCATGACTTTCTGATTCTTGGACTTTTGGTTCATGTGCGCAATGTCCCGAACGATGTGGGTGAAGATGCTTTTTCGCAAACCTTTGTCCTGCATGGCGATGCACCCAGGCATCATAAATTGGGTGCAACAGTATTTGAAGGGCTGTGGTAGAGTATGGCATCCTGATGGTCCGAAAAGGCAATAACGAAGAGGGTATGGTGGCATGGGATGCCCTCAAGGGCCAGAAATCAGGACATAATTTGAAACGCCTGCGACTTGAAGAGCTTGAAGTATACCGGCAGCGTCTTGCTGCACGGAAACCTGAGGAAGGCAATGAGAATGGATCGACAACGAAAAGTGGAGCGTGAGCGGCGGGCTGGTTCCGGTTGCGAAGCAGAATCAGGGCCTGAACGAGAAGTTAAATGCTGCATGCTCGTACTTATCTATCCGACAGACAGGTGCTGGAGATTGCCTGCACAAGCGTTGTCCGCATGTTGCTGTGCATGACTTCGAAGTGGTCGTTCAATGCACCTGGCTCGGCAATATTAGAGTTATTAGAGGTCTCTGAAGGACCGCACAAAGCCGCTGCTTTGGAAGAAAACTCAGTTTACCACTGATCAAAAGGTCTGGAAAGGCCTTCGAGCATCAGGTGCCCATGAGCTAATGACTGCAGTGTCGAAATGAAACTTTGGAGCAAATGTTCCCGTCGCCTTGGCCCGGTCTGGAAAGCTTGGAGCCACATGCGCTAGGAACATCACCTGCGAGCACGCGGTCGTTCGCCACTTGCATGTCGCATTGCGAACCGGAGTTCGCCGCGCCTGTTCCGCAAAAGAGCTTGAGGGCTTCTGTGGCTTCAGCTTGAAGATCTCCATCTGGCTGTCGAAGTGGGACCTTGCACAGTGCTAGGGCCCAGCCCAGACATACCACACATGCCCAGGGAAGGTCTAGGACACGGACCACTGCTGGTCGAACTCTACTGAGTACGCCTCCGCAGCAAGAATCCTCGAACATAGACCTTTGATGACGAAGGCCCCACCTCGGGGTCCCTCTTCATGAGATTTTGCAGCTGTGGCAGCGACATTACGCGCTCCTTTTCCTCAAGGTGCCACGGAGACACGCGTGGATGCATAACTGCACATCCAGTACAAAGAAAGCTTCTGTGAAGTGTCGGCAGTAGAATCACAGCACTCTATACGGTCTAACTGTCACCTTAGATACGACAATCTTAAGGCGATTTGCCGCAGACACCACCCTCACCACTCACCCTTACCACGCTTACCTTGTCCTCATCGACAGTCGCTACAGCAGCCATCGCGCCCGAACAGACACACGCCAAAACACCTCGAGCACGAGTAGTGCAGCAAGGTGATCACTGGACCCGCAACGCACGGAGATTTCGTCGATTCGTATGTCTAAGTTCAGCACGGTGCTGCCAGCGTCTTATCGGCTGCACTGCAGCTCACGGGTCTACTGATATTTGGATGATCATGTGTACATGTAATCTCGAGAGGGAGAGATGGAGCATCTCCCGCATAAACTGGACTTCTGACGAAAAGCTCGGGTGCAAAGGACTGTCGAGTGATGCAGAGCTGCGCTGCTGTCCGCATGTGCTGACCAGCTGTTGTCCTAAATGGAGCTAGACTCTAGATGGCTGCGAGTGCAGTTTGTGTCGAGTCATGGCTTCATCAACAAATCGACCCAAAAACTTGCAAACGATCCCGCGTTCCGTATGCCAAGCCATTCTACAGGTGAAGGAACCAGGCAAAGACTGCTCCGCAATTGCGACAAGTTTTGGATTCCTCTGCAACGTCGGCTCTTTCTGATCCGGGCAGCAACGTGCACTCCACACCGCTGTAGACGAGCTTCTGGCAGCCGACACTGGGTGTGCGCTGATGCTCGATGTAGCAATGGAAGCCGGCCTCGGAGACAACATCTATTGGGGCCAGTGTTGAAGATGTTTGACGGGTCGTCGCTGCTCCGAGCATCTGAATCTAAACTCGGCCGAACATAAAACCCAACGGAATCCTAAACTGCACGTTACTGTCGATGCGACGGCTGATGCCCTCAGACTTTCCTGCGACATGCTTAAATGAAAAAGCCCTTGACTCGCTGCTCATTGCCAAAATTAGCGGCAAGTCTTTCTGCCCAACGGAAACCCGGACTTCGCACTGATCACAGAGAGGCTTTATGATGTTTTGCTGTGCGTTTTTCTGATTCTGTCCCCTGCCAGCCTCTCTCAGATGGCCTTCGTGAGTGCGTGCGCAGCGCTGCCACGCGGCGGCGAGAGCTTTGACCTACTGCAATGTAGCGGACTTCGCTCTGCGTTCTATCTTCGGGGAGTGTACGGCACATGCGACATGCAGATCCATGGTTCCAGCATCTTGAAGCATAACCAAGTTGAGGCACCATTTTGTCGATTGCTTGGCTCCCCATGGACCGAACGACCACAAGCTCCTGTGTGTGTTCGTTTACGGAATCATGGTTGAGGCTCCGTTTGCCGTGCTGTTTAACCAATGACAAACGAGGCGGTCAATTGCAACCGGCGGTACTGAAGCCTAAAGCGTTCCGTAGTCAGCCAGGAAACCTCTATCCCAACGCAGGATTGCTGGAAGCGTGACTGCACCAGGCCGCTCAAGCGTCTCAGATCTGTATCTCCCCTCACACTTACCTCAGAGCAGCACAGCTTCCCCCAGAATGCCCGCAACCGTCGGAAGTATTGACATGCACGATGCTTATTCGAGCGGCAACGTCCGGAGCCTCCTGTGCAATCTTCCGCCGCACGACCACGACTTTCGCAGCATCCCAAGCATGTAGCAGGAGCTGCATCGCGCGGCGTAGGTGCACAGCGGCCTACGCGCGCAGATGCACCAAACTGGAAAGTTGCGGACACAGACATCAGTTGGAGCAAGTTGCACAAGAAGCATCAAGAAGCAGCAACCGTTGTGCCACAGGTAGGCCCTGTTGCGACGCCTTGCCAGGCTCCTGGTATCGGAAGACGCGAACCACAGGCACGAAGGCGATGCGCTGCTTCGCTGCAGCTTTGGACAGTCGCCTGCAGCCGTGGCATGGTACGCGCATGTTGACCTGTCTGGGATCGTGCTCCAGTGCTGCCTGTTGCACAAGGCCAGGGCATTCAAAGCCACGCTCAAGGAAGCATCGTTTTCGGCCTGCATTTCTGGTCAAGAAGCTGAGGCAGAGCAGCATGGAAGTGACAGAGATCGAGGAAGTGACACACTTCGCCACGCGCACACCATCGCCTCCAAGATGAGCCGTCCCTTGCTCGACTGCAAAAAGGGCTGCGTTTGTAACAAGGCTCCTGCAGGTGCTGTTCTCTCCCCCATCTCCCCTCTGATTCAAGACGAAGCAAATTGTTGCCTGACATCGAGTCCTGCCACTTGGCCGACAGTCAACTTTCTGCTGATTCGCACGACGCTCTTCGTCGTAAGGTCCAGCACAGGTGAAGCCTGCAAGCCTTCGCATGTCAGCTGGCAGCCCGAATGGGGAACAGAAGTTGCTTCGAATCTCGGAGCCTTCATCGGAGCGCGGCTGTGCCGCAGGACCTGCCAGGCACCTCCAACTCGGTATCTCTCAGCTGTCTCAGGCTTTGCCGAAGTAGGCTCGGCAAAGGTGCAGTGCCTCGGTTGTCCTAGGAGCTGAGACAGGGCGCCGCCCTTGCTTTGAAGCTGCCTTGGCACACGAAGCTCCAGACGCAAGATGTGACGTGGACATGAGATCACTTGATGACCTGATGGCAGTCTGGCCGCAAACGTCTCGCCCAGCGCAAGTGAAGCCAGGGCTGCCGCAGAGCCATCACACGCTCAGGCTTTCAACATGGCGCGCCCAACCAGGTCCGGCAGAACTCCACGAAGTCTGCAGCTACTGTAGAAGCTTGAAGTGGCGTCTGGGCTGTCCACAGCACTGCAAAACACTGTAGCTGGTTTCTCTGTTGAGCCAAGTACGCTCGGAAGGGCACCGATGACAGTAGCATCCGGAGTGCAGAAGCTGCACTGCCAGCCATCGTTCCTGTGTGCGTGCTCAATCTTTTCCTCTGGCCTGGACCGAGTCTAAGTCTAAGTAGACCATCAGCATGGGTGAGCCTAACAGCAACCAACACATGTTTCAACCCTTCCAGAATCGTCACCAAGCCAGAAAGCTGCCCGGGATCATCCATGCTGCCTGTGAGTACATTTACAGCCTGCAGTGTACTGACATTGGTACACCGGCATGGCTCCGAGGAAACAAACACCCCAACAACCGGCCCCAACCGCTGCCTCCTGTCTGAAGCCGACTGGAACCCAGAAAGATTCCGGACAACGCTGAACGACGAGTCGGCTTAGAATGCCGGCATGCGGTGTGCCACTCTCAAACAGCAAAAGCATCATTTACTGTTCCCCTGCACACGGCCCAGAGAGGCTGCTATGGCTGTGGCATCATCCTGCAGCAGGGATGAAGGGTAGCTGCAGCTATGCCGCACCAATCTGACTTGATGGGTACCGAGCCCCGCACCACTGTGCTGTTCGAGGAGTTCGCAGACCATAGTTTCATTGCTTCATGCACTACCTGCAGCAGCTCGACTTGGCAGTCGGGCAAGTGGCAGGATTGCTTCCTTGGTCCAGTTAGCCGATTAGGTCCTAACAGGCCTCCTCCAGCGCCCGCTCTGTGACACCGTGCTTCAGCAAGTGTCCAGCCACCGTCCGGTCTGGCATGCGTGGAGAAGCAGCACACAGCATCTACCGCCACTGGCCCTGAAACGAGAACACGCTTGCCACCAAAGTATAAGCACCAGCTAGTGCCAAACAAGCCTCAAAAACTGACAAGAGCATGGGCGAGCCGAAAAGTTGGTGTCTTTCGTCAACAGGCCGGCGCGGCTTCCACAGAACTCGAACAAGCCGTCTGTTCCTGGGAGCACAGCAACGAAAGGCGAAAGGGTAAGGACATTTCTTGGACTTCTGGGCAGGCACGATCCTCGATGCAAATATGTGAGTTGCTAATTTCGACGGGCGCTCGAACGCAGAAATGGCCGGAATTCCTATAACTACCTCAAACGATCACTTGCATTATCTTGCGCTTTGTCTCTCAGTCATCTTCGCTCAAGATATCCGCCGAGGCCACAGGCCCAGGCGTCTTGCGGATTACCTCAGGTACCCTCCACCTAATCCTCCTCCCTGCAGTCCGAAAGTTTGGAGACACCCTGTTTTTGCGTTCCTTGCCCGGCTTCCCTGCATTTTACCTGATTTGCAGGCTCCCTCCCCCTCCCCCTCTCCCCCCCCCCCCTCCCCCCCGCTCCCCCCTCCCCCCCCCTTTGGCCGCATGAGTAGCAGAAGAGCAGTAAGGTAGGAAGATGGCGTTCCCACACTGGACACCCAGCATGGTGTATACGACATCCACTGCCCCCTCGACCTGCCGCTAAAGAGCCGAGGCGGGCGGCGTAGCGTTAAAACTATGACTGTGTCGCTGACCTGGCCTAAGATGAGAAGGGCTTCTGCGTCAGCCGGCAAATGGTGAGAAAAAACCTGCCGTGACACGATCTGACATGTGAGACCACGTCTGCTTTTCCGATTGTATAAAGTACAAAGCTTCCCGGCCTGTGGCTCAGCACTGATGCCACAGTCACGGCCAATGGCGAGGCCCAACGAGCGAGTCAGCCTGAGTCGACACTTATGCATGGCTTGGCACCCAGACTGGAAACTATCGACTGGATCCCGCCCCATCTATCTCACCCGTATTGAAGGATAGGGCGATACCATGCTATGCGTAGGCTGGACAGTGTTGCTCAACCAACCCGAAGCAGATGACTGTGGAAAATCAACAAAGCCGGGATGCGCAAAGCCGGGATGGCCGGGCACAGACTCGCAAATGACCCTCGCCTAAGTGTGCGAAGTCAGGCCAGTTAGATTTCTCGGTCAGCACAAGCACCCGGCCCGCTTGCCGCCGCCCAAGCAGATGTGCCCTCCGGCATCTTTGATCCGCTGGGCCTCGCATCTCAGCTACGCGCAGGACAGGAGGTCTCAAGGTCCGGGTGGAGATGGGAGGGAAACCCTGCCACACTGCGAGCAAACTCGGAACTTGGGCACTTCGGCCACGCATCTTTTCTGATGGGCTTTAGCGCTATCGGACCATGGAGCCCTCACGCCTCGCCCTCGTCGTCAGGCCGGTGATCTTTGGTCAGCTCTTTGACCTTTGTGGCGAGTCTGCGAATACAAGCGGATGAGTGACTGATGAGTGTACTTGAGCATCCTATCAAGTGGAGCAAACGGCCGGCTGTGACCGAGTTTGAGGCGATGAAGCACTTGCCACCTTTTGCTGCATCCGATAATCGTGCCTTGGCTCATGTCAAGCTCCGCGCCGATTCTAGATCTACGCACACGCAGAGATGCTGATCAAGATAGATCGATGCCCGCACCCACTCTCTGACCATGCCCCGCTGTGTGCAAGCAGACGACCAGGATAGCACGGGAGTCTCCCACATGAGCAGTGTGAACCTCGATGCGCACAAGGAATAGAACAGGCAAGGGCAGCTGATGCAACGGCTCAAGCCCAACATCCGAAGCCCGTCCAACAGCATGACTCAAAACCTTGAAGCCTTCCAAAAGCGTTGCACCACCTGATCGTTCCTGAGCTTCCCACTGTGGTCCCTGGCCCGATGCCGGCCTTGGAGGACCTGATTTCGATGTCAGAGGGCTGAGAGAGCTCGGGAGTCCAAGTCATGCTAAATCAGTCAGCACTCCTGTCGTTCTGCGGTTTGCTGAGAGTTGGACTGGTCCCGCTCGGTCTGAACTCCTCCAAGAGGCGAAGGCACAGGCGCAACGTGCCGCAACAGGACCATGTGACGGTTGCAAGAGCCTCCCCGCAAAACAAGCGCGATGGTGGCTGTAGTCCCACTGCTGTAGGCATCGGTAGGCACCTGCCTCAAACACTCGGGCCAGAAATCTGCTCGCTTTCTTGGTGCAAACCGACAGCGATCCTAACTAAGAGTGGCACCTGAGCATGTCTTGCTGAGCTTCGGCGAAAGCAGATTTGAGAACCTTTGAAGCAGATCATGCGTGGTTTCCTGGCTGATGATGGGCATTTGCATATTGTCGAGGGATTTTGCATCGGCACGAAGTCAAGGGACAAGGCGCCACTCATCGTCTGCATCTGCTACGGTTTGCACGTTCTTTGCTACAACATACTTGTGTTGCGAACCTCTCTCCTCTTCAGAGGGGCCCCGAAAGTTTCAGCCCTGTCGAGTCCATCTTGCTATGCTACCAGCCACGACTTGTGTCCTCGGCATGTGGAGGGACCTCCGGCGGGTTTACCAGAAGATCTGGATCGCCGAAAATTCGCTCCGGCAGGAATCCTGACAGTGGCCATGTCCTGTCTCGATGCAAGCTGTCCAAATTGAAAACGCCGTCCTCGTGCGATTGCTGCACAGCGATGCCCAGCAGGCCCATGGCCATCAAAGACACCGTACAGAGCCACACTTCCTGGTGTCAACAATGTTGCTGAACGAGGTCGCTCAATCCAAAACCATCACCAACCTCCGTCGCGTAATCAAGGTTGGCAGCAACGTGGAGCTAGTGATGTTCTTACAGTGATGGGTCACGATTGCACCCTGTTCTGACTCGTGACATGTTCGAAACTTGTGGCACCCTGCCTTGATCGCCCCAGGAGCACATCGCAAGCCTCGACGTACGATGTGGACACATTCGCCGAAACAGTGCGTGTTTGCTAACAGCGCTGGCAAGGAAACATCAACAAACATGAGCCACGAGACACCAAATCGTCTTGATTCGGTACGGTCGGATCTACTCGGTGTCCACGGGCACACACCTCAGTTGGGGAACAACAGCCAGGAGAACGAGGCTGAAATTTAAAGAATGGCAGCAAATGCTTTTGCAGCTGCATGATGCACGGCTGTGGACCCGACGCATGCTACATTGCACGCAGTCAGACGAGACATAGCATCGCCTTGCGGACGGCAGATTCTTCATAATGTAACTGGACTCTCCTGTCTCCCCAAGGGCCTGGGAAGCATGTCACCGTCTTCCTGAGAGTATCTGCAGTCTCGTCACCAGGGACTTGGCCCTGCACCACGAACCTCGACTTCAAGAAGGATTCCAGCCCAAGCCGGCTCAAAAGATCTCGGGCAGCGACTCCCAGAGATGATCAGACCTTGACACATTCGATTCCAATCTCTGAACACGTAAATCCGTCTGCAGAAGGCAAGACGATGCAACATACAACGGCAGCGTTGCTTGCCGCAAGTCTGGGTCACCAACACTTCGTCTTCTCTCCGGACCTCGTCGGCTGGAGGAGACCTTATGCCGCGGTGCGAACTGCGAGCAAAACATCCTGCAAAGTCTAGACGGACAACGGACGATGTTGCATGGCTCGCTGACTCACATGATTCTAAGTGCTTACAGATGACGAAGGCATGGCCTGACAGGTCGGCGTAACGGTCGGCGAAACAATCCGCCGAAATAGTGCAGTCAGTGTGAGATTCAGGCAGTGATGAAGCATTTCCTGGAACAGGACTCGTACTATTGCAGTCCGCGCTGTGTGTCATAGCCAATCCAAGGCGTGCCTTGACCAAGCGGCTCTGACTCGGTGGACTCTAACGGAGCAGCCTTTCCAGAAGTGACACCGTTGAGCGCTGCAGAACGCACCACCTCCTCACCTTCTCCACAGACTCAACGCGGTCCATTTCACTACCGCAAGAGCCTGGCATGTCGTGGCGGATCAGGCTGAGACCTCCCGCGACACCACCCGCCTGAAATGGCACGGACACTGTCCCCTCCAGCGACATCGCCGCCGCCACCACCACCACTACCCTGCACAGCCTGGGATGTTGGTCGTGTGGCAGGAACCTGGACGTGGGGACGGCTACTCCTTAACAAGCGCTTGACCTCACTGTCCACCCAATAATCCCTGATCTGATGACTCTTGCTACAACGCACAAAGCAAGCTTGCGGCAATTGGACCATCACATGAGTAGCGAGCTTGCAACAAACTTGACAATCTGCAGGATTGCAACAAGGCTAGTCGTGTAACCTTAAGGTCAAGGCGTGATCCTGGAGACGACCGGCTCGCATGAAATGGCTCTGAGAAACTAGGCACCAGGCCTGTTCATGGTAATCCTGCCGGGACTTTTCGTCGGCGCACTCCTCGGCCTGACCGTGACGAGCGCAGCTCTTCGACAAGGCTAGACACCTGGACATGCATCCCACATAGCACAGCTTCAAAGCGTGGTGTGAGGATTTCTGTAGCCACAGTAAGGCTAGTTCGGGCATCCAGGTGAAACCTGAACCTTGAATGATCTAAGCTCCTCGCCCTGAAAAACCCAATGCATGGCAGCAGGCGCTCTTTTAGAGATGCTGGTGACCGGCAGGTGCCCATGCATGCATTTAGCAAGGATGTGCATCGTGTCACGTCCCTTACGTTCTGCACGTGTCCACAGGGAATTAACACACAAAGCAAGCATGACGCTGAACACACGGTGTTTGGATGCAAATATGCCGCACACAGCAATGGTGCCTTGGATGCGCTTAGCTTACCGTGCCAGCTGTCACACATCCAAAAACATCATCCTGGAGACAACCCGCTCAGCAGCAACGATGAGATTACTGAGCACCAGACTTGTTCGGGGTTATCCTGCACAGGAGCCAGTCGGGACTTCTCGTCCGGGCACTCCTCGGCCTGACCGTGATGAGCGCAGCTGTTCGACAACAAGGCTGTTTCGATGGCTCACATGACTCACCATAGTCAGGCGTGGCACGTACATGCTGAAAACTGAGGTAGATAGCAGGTATTGTGCTTGCCTGCATTTTGAACTAGGTATCCCCGTGTTTTGCACCTACTCATGGCAGTCTATTTAGCAAGGAGTTTGTTTGAAGCATGTCTTCACACACACACACAAGTTTTTGGGAGGCGTTGGCGCCTGCTGCCCTTCCACAGTGATCGAATTCTTGCACATACGACAGGACAGTAACTGATGTCTTGTACCCAGCCAGTGCCAGCGCTTCGTAGGCTGAGGCGATGGGAAACCTCTGCCGGGAGCGGCTCAAGCCTCCTCCGGGATCGGCATGCTCGTGATGTGGTTTCCATTAAGCCGCCGCTGATGCGATTCCTGGCCACAGACAAGGGCTTGTACCAAAGTTTGCCTCCTTTAAGCGCAACCTGGCGACCTCTATATGTTCACTCGAAAAAGCAGTCAGGTACCAAACGGTGTCAGCACTTGCACCACCTGACTTACCTGCAATGACCTGCAATGCCTAAGTCAAGACAGAAGGTTTCTTCAAAAAACTCTAAGCCGCTAAGCTCAACCCAGCCACGAACCTCCTGCAGTGAGCAAAAGAGCAAACAGCCAGAGTGCCTCAGGCCGCGCTGCCTGTGGTTCGTCGGGCATCCGCGCTGTGATTCGCGGTGACGGCCGTTTAGCCTCGGCCCGGAAGTGAGTTCGCATGGTCTGCCTCACTGACCTCAACTCGTTTGCACCTGCTGAGCTCCAGGCAATGTAGTCTCCCAGAGCGCGAGAGGTAGATTGCGCCTGAAGCAACTTTCGCATGTCGCTGCTTGCTTGTATGGCCACGACATGGTGGCGATAGCAGGCACCAGCAAAACAATGCTAGATATTGCTGGCCTCTGCCAGCTGCCGCTGCAGCTTGCCAGCGAACAGCTCAAAATCCTGTTTCCGGAACCACGAAGCCATTTGCAAGAGCTTGGCGACTTCGCAACTGCAAGCACGTGCTTACAAAAGCGAGGCACAGAAAAAGCAAACAAAGACAGAGATCGAGACGGGAGCGGGAGGGAGGGAGGGAAGGAATCATCCAGGCTTCACCTGCCTTGGAAGTTTGCAGATCGCTCTGCTGCGGACAGCGTAATGCCTTCACGGCTACATCTCGCTGGCGCTTGCCCAAGTTGCAGCCCTGCCTCCGTCTGCAGCTCCAGCGCCCGCTGAGCCTGTGTTGGAATTGATTATTCACTTCAGCCAGTGGCGCAGCACAGAAAGGGTGGTGCTCACAACTCGTAGACAGAGCGACTGCCTCTCCAAGAGCGTGCGAAAGCCGCATGAGGCCCTCCATGCTCTCTGCCTCAGTTCAATTCTGCTCCAGCGGAATGGGAATGCTTTGCTGAGCATTGCTGAGCACCAGAGGCACCTGCTGACTTGTGATTGGACTCCGGTAGCCGTGTCCTCTCCAAACTGTTTGTACCTGTAAGCAGGAGGGGCTCCACTTGAGGACACAGCCTTCGATAACTCCCGGAGCACGGGCAGGCCCAGATTTCATACGAGAGCGCTGCGGCGCCGCCGCCTCAGAGGCCATAGTTGGTAACGCAGATATCTTGCTACAGTCTCGCAAGTCTCTTTTGAATACAATCCTGACGCGTCGGGGGCCTTCTGGGTCGGGACTTGGCGCGCAGAGCGGCCATGCAACGGATACCTCCAAGCTGCAAGCAGACGAATGCACTTCTGCCCATCTACTTGCCATGATCAGTTACAACATGCCAGCTACACCCTGCAGACTGACGAGCACGTGCGGAGAGGGAAACACTCACTCCTCAACCACGCGTGCTGCCACTGCTACACAGGGAAACACTCACATCGACACAACATCACCAAGCACAGTTCACCCTCGTGTGGGTCCTCCGTCTGTGCTAAGACGAGCAGCAGCCCGATCTGCGGTGCGTAAACGTGGATCCTTCAGCGTGAAGCTTCCCTCGACCGCGTAAATGGCTTGAGGATGGGCTTGTACCGTGGCGTCAGGGCCCGTTTCTTCTGCCGAGACAGTGATTGAATCTGAGCGCCCTGCCCGAGGGGAAGGTGATCGGAGACGACCTGGAAAATCAGTAGTACAGTACGTGAGTCTTCGCATGTCTTCGCTATCTTCATGGCTGGTCTCGAGACTATTGCATCTCCACCGACGTCAAGAGCTGCTGTGCACATGTCGGCTGAGACAGATCGAGGCCGCGTCCATTCGTTTGTCCAGCTCGGGGGACCGAAGGCTTCGATGGATCCTTGAAGAAACGCGCGGAGCCGAATCGCATGAGCTTGCAAGCAGATTTCCGAAGGCTGTCACCCATAGCTGCGGGACGTCTCGCCTCAGAGGCAAGTCAAGCGCACGTTCTTGTACGTGGGAGACATGCATCAGCATCAGTATCCAACCGGACAGATCTCGGGACCTGTTCCTGAGCCGCTTATTCTGAGGAATCTCACGGCCTCTGCAGAGCGCTCATCATGGAGAGTACCTCTTCTACGGAGGGCACGTGACACCGCTTCAACTGCAAAATGGGCTCAAGGACTTCCCGAAGTGTCACGAACTGTCCGAGGCCTCCTCTTCCAGTTTGTCGTAACTGTCGGCTTTTGCACGACTGCGACTCGTGACCTGGCCCAGCTGTCATTCCAAGTCAAACAGCACATCGCCTCCACCAAAAGTCTGTCCATGCTGCCTTCTCACTGGCATTTTTCAGTGAAGCTATCTCGCACTCCAAGCGGTTTCGCATATTCGCCTCAGCCCGCGTTGTTTTTGACGGAGTCGGCCTCCTTTGATGGTCCTGAACCAGGTTTGCTCATGACTTTACGTTTTTGCTTGGCAAACAAGTTTCGTGGTTAAAGCTGCCTGCATCCCAGCTCTAGCCACTTTCTCCGCGACGCTTCAACCATAAAATCTACGACATCCCGGACCTGCGCTGCATCGCCCGCCCTGGACAGGACGAGGGACGGCTGCATCCGATTATCCACGACTTCCGCAAAAATCCGCCCAACCGGTCAGGAGTGAAACTTTGCGTGCCTCAGTATGCGATGCGGCACCGGATCTGACCGGCTGGAGCCTGGAAAAACAAGAGCAACGAGCAACGCCAAAATGCTTTTCCCGCTCGACTTCTTGCCCGCCTGGACTGCTTGCACCTCGAGTACTGCTCGTGGCGCTTGCTGGTCGCCTTGTGGAAACAAAGGATTGCTTCCACTCCTCTCTTACTCTTCATTTCCTGGCACCGGCAGCTGAGCGAGTACGAGAAGGCTATATAACGCTATGCTGAAAGGAGGCTCCGGCTCGCTCGAGGCAGCGTGACATGCCTTGCGCTTGCCCATCTCAGGAGGATTAGACGTGGCGATCGTCCCAACCTCGAAGCGCTGAAGCCATCGGCCCTCGAGAGGAGGACGTGCGAGGCCCGAGACACGCCGCCTGCCGCGAGTGAGAGGACCATCTCGCAGAAGAGTCATCTTTCTGGAGCAGGCACCACAGGGACCAAAACCCCAAACCCTAAACCCCCTAGGCCCTAAACCCTGAACCTCTAAACCCCAAACCCTAAAGCGCTAAAACTCAATGAGTATCTTTCAAGCTCGCTCTGCTCTACCCACTGCGCCCTGCTGCACCTGGGCCCACTCGGCGAAGAGCGCTCCTTGACCTCGCGGATCCTCAGAGCTCCGGAGGCTCGTGGCTCAAGGAGCACAGCGAGGAGTCCTATCTTTCGGGTGCAGGACCCTGGAAGCTTTTGCATGAATGAAGGGCTGACTCCCAGAATATCTAGCACGGAACTGACAAGAGGCATGAAGCAGCAGGTTGTCACAGATGCAACACAAATCGGTCGCCTCTAGAATGACAGAAATGATGCACAGCCAAGAAAGAACCTGCAGAAATGGAGATTCCCTGCCACTTGTTGACACGGCACCGTGATTGTGAGGGGGACGATGCCACCTTCGGAGCACCTCGCATATAGGTGTTCATCCTTTCGTGCCGACTTGCCAGGCTCTATGGACCGACTGAGATCAAAGCCGTTCATACCGGGATGACGTGGCTCGACAATGTCCACACTTGCGGGCTGCAGCCTCGAGGGCTGAGATTTGAGAGAGCTAAGGCAAACCTGCCTTGGCTCAGCTCGCAGGAGCATCTTCCGGGTCACACGCAAAGGACCGTCTGCAGGAGAGTCCACAGACAGCCGCGCCTCAAAAGGGTGAAAAGGATCCAAGGCAACAGCAGAGAGTGTGCTTCAGACTGTTGCGCTTGATGATACTTGCATGGTGCAGCCCTCTTCGGCTGGAGGTGTCCAGAGCACAAAGCCCTCGAAGCAAGACAGGCCCTGGCTGAGTCCGGACCTCAGCTGGATTACGCAAGGAGAACGAGGCCTGGATGCTTACGTGAAAAGCGGGTGTAAAGCTTCCGCTGTGATCGCTAAGGCAAGGGCTGGATGCCATGGGCAGTGCATAACTGTTCGAGGCAGCCTGAGACTGGACAGCAGTTCTGACAGAACACGGCACGACTCTGCCAGCTTGTCCAGAGAGTCAACACGCGAAACTCTCTCGAAAGGCATGCACCGATGTTTCGGCTGGCAGAGCTTCGCTACTGGCGTCCAGATCAGACCTGGGCGACACCAGCAGCCCTTTTGATTGAATTTCCCACACTCACTGCATGCTAAGATCAAGGCATTAGTGAAGCGGGTATGCTGCCGCCATCCGACATTCTCTAGGCCGCGCTGCCGCGCGATGGCGAATTAAATCTGCATGAACATAGTGTGGTAAATATACTCCAAAAGCAAACTTACTTGTACCATGAACGCCGCTCTTCACTCGGCTGGCCAATGCTAGATATCTGTGATGGGGAGTTTTGTTTCCAGCTGATGTTGAAACGAACTCCGTTTGAGCTTAATCGTCCCTAACGCCTTTGCTGAAAAAAGGAGACTTGTCCATTGTCGGGTCTTCTGCTTAGAAGCCAGGGACCAAGAGACAATAGGCATGTCAGCCAAAGGGACAGCGCGTACCCTCCCCTGGAAAATGCAGCTCGCTGATGCTCGTTGCCTCTGCTACGGTTTCACCATCTCAACAAGCATAAACTGCCGCAGGTCGATGTTGAATCAAATCCAGGGATCATATTTTCCAGAATCACGCAGACTGCGAATGACTGCGGGAGCAGCTAACTCCACAGCGGTCCTAAGCCAGCCCCGGTGCACGCTCGCTCAAAGGGCTCACGCGTCTTGTCCAGGCGCTGGCTGCCGCTGGCAGCTTCTACGGCGGAACGGCTGGTGCTGAAAGCAACTGTCGGAAGGTTGGAATCGGAAACCTGATCAGGACCAGCATCCGCACTTGGGTGGCATCTTTGGCCACCCTACTTGTAGCAGCAGGTCCAGGCCCCGGAGGCCCGGGGCACGGCCCAGAGAGTGCTTTTCCGGCTCTCGCTTGGAGGCTGGGAAGCGACTCGTCGGCTCGCGGCGTCGCGGCTCTCCTGCTCGTCCTCGTGCTAGCGAACACCTCCCGAGCTGAGCACTCTCCAGTCATCGGGAAGGCCTAGGGCCGAAGACAAACTAGATTGAAGCTGCAGGAAGCCTGCAGGTGAAGGAAGCCTCTCCCCAAACCGCGCGAACCCTCATTCAGAAGCCAAAAGGGGACGGCCGGAGGAGGCCTCATCATCAGGCATGTGATGCCAATTCGAACCTGGAGAGCAGCAAACCGAAGTGCAGAAGACACTCTTCGGTCTTAACCTAGCATTTTGGGTGAAGCCATGGACGCAAGAATCAGCATCGCGGTGACACAACGACATGCGTAACCACACCATGGGCTTCAGCGTATGGAAGCAGCTGTCCACGAGAAGAGCAGCTTCACTGGACAATCACGCATACTCCCCGTATGACGAGGCGTTTCGAATCCAGATCTGCAGTCTAAAGTTGTCAGCAAATGTCAGCGACAGTCGCACAAACCAAGCCCACAACCACTGTTTCATCACGTCACTGAGAATGGCGGGCAAAGTCTGCAAGTCCTGAGACGGTCGAGGAAGAACAGTTGATGGATCAGCAGGGGCACGTCAACGCAAGTCCTGCACGACCACGTAGTAGGGGAATGGAAAGTCGGACAAATACGGAACGACCTGCAATCGGGATGCATCAAAGTGCAGCAATGCATCGCCCGGCCCAAGAGTAGCAGAATATCATTCGCCGGCAGCAAACGTCTAAGCAACTCAGACGTCATCCTTGCGGCAAGCCCGTGAGCCTGGCAGTTGCCTCCCTCATAAGTCACGGCACGCAGGTCGAAGACGCTTCGTTTGGAGCCCGAGGCCTTCACGGCATCCACATATCCCAGTGAAGCCCCGCTGTGCAGCCCGCCGAGTTCCGTACGTTCGCTGCCGGAGTTTCCTTGGCAGGCAACGAAAGCTGCCCCTCTCCAAGCTTGTGCCACAGTCAAGTCGTGGGCAGATTCTGCATCCACGATGATCAGCAGTGGCAGCTGCTGCCGAGCCAGCGCAGCATGCACCTCTGCACTCACGGCTTTTCTCACTGCCGCTACTAAGAAAAATGCCACTAGTATCGCTGACTGCGAGGCCTGGCTTAGCCGGAGCTTCTCCAGTAACTTTGCAAGGACTGGGCGCCAAACCCATGGGCGTACCTTGTTCTTGTTGAAGCGACCATCGGAGATGATGATGCTCATCTGGCCTGGTCGTTCCGGACTGCAGCGTGTTTCATCGGCAAGGTGCCGTCTGGATACTGAATTTGCCCAGACGTCTGTGGATGGTCTGCAAAATGCTGCACAGCCTTAGGGTCTGGCTGAATGGTCGCGCAGGATTTGGTCCGTTGCGCCTGTCGTCGCAAGCTGAAGTTTGGAGTTAAGGCCGAGTCTTGAAGGTCCAAAGGTCTTGCTCGCCTCTACAAGTAGCCTAGATCGGAAGACAACTAGAAACAGCATGCTTCGCTGTGGTTCCGTGATTCAGGTGCTACTCCAGACGGATCAGCCCCTGCCACGAGTACTTCATCTTCTTGAACCTTTTTTGCGCATAGTGCCATGTGTGCCGTGTGGTCTCTGGGGAGGAGGCTCGTCGAAGAGCTCGGAGCTGAGGCGCATCAGGTCCGCCAGACTCCGGTTGTGGCTCCTCAGAAAGCTGGTGCTCAGGGATGTGTTGGAAAGCTGCGGGCTCTTCCTTTGCCTACCGCCTGTGCATTGCCAAGACGACAGAAAGCCTACAGGCCGACACTTTGCATTTACCTTGAACATCCTGGTACCTTGCCGAAGAACATGACCGCTGTCTATGTTACACTTTGCTGCTCGGAAAATGCCTCGGCAAGCCACAGGCAACTTCGAAACGATCGCATGAGTGATTCAAATTTCAGATCTCCCAGTATCTCTGAGCTCGCAACTGAACAGATTCCTCCTCAAAGGTGAACCTGACGGAACGAACACGAGAAGGGAGCCAACAGACATGCAGGAGGCTCTGAGTCCAGTTCTCCCGGAGCAGAGGTCCGGCTTGCGTCCAGTTGAAGCTGCTTGCGTGCGGCTGCCTCAGGCCACACCATGCCGCATGTGACCCGGAGCCATTGCAGGTTCGCAAAATTCATGAGCTTGCGACCCGGAGCCCAAAGGCAGAAGCACACGTGGAGTTGCCTCATGATGTCCAATCGGCGCATGCACTTGCATTCAAGCACAGCACTTGCGGGAGGTTTTAGAACCCGGCACTGCCAAAGGCGAGAACAGCATACTCACCCACTTCGAGTTGGGCCAATGCCTTCGGCACAGGTGACGTGACTGCAAAGTTCAGCAAAGCTGTATGGCAACTGGTCCGCACTCGCCTGGCACAGAACGCAGAGAGTCTGCAGCGCATTGGGGCCGACGCCGCACTCTTTCCTTGTCGAAGTTACACTCTCGCACATGCAGATGGCATGGGCGAAAACGGGAATATCTGAGGCTGAAACATGCTCCGAGAGTTGTCGATGGCCACAACGATCTGAGGGTGAAGAACATCAAAACAAAAGAGGAAAACCTGCAGTTGCTGCCTCGGTTCGACATGACTGTTACTCAGGCTCACTTTGCCAGAATGAGTACCCAAACCTGTCTTGTTTCTTGCCCGGTTGTTGGTCAAGGGCCGCGGCCAAAGCTATGTTGGGGCGTCCGGCTGCAGAACGTGACCGCCAAACCTCCCTGCCTGGTATTCCCGCTTCGAGGGCTTCGTCCGTCTCAGCCAAATCTTGTCCCTGCGGTAATTCGAGGCGATGAATGGGATCACCTCAAGCATTGCTTTCTCTGAGATGCTCCAGGCAGTTATCCCGTCCCTCACTAATGACTTGTTTTCCGCTACACCAGTAGCGGTATGATAGACAGATACTTGTTCCGCACAGCAGCAACAAGTGAGTCTCCAGCGCGTCTCATCGAGATACGCTTTCCGGTGCGGAAGTAGCCCTGCAAACGACCTGACCAGAAACTTTGCAGTTGGATCGCAGAAACGGTTCTGAGATTGCATTGGCATGCCTATGACGGCACGAGCAAGGAAAACGTGGGGACTTCGGAGTGAATGGACACGTTTCAATGCTCTAGAAGCTTCGCGATGTTTCCTGCCTTTGAGAGTGGGCTCCAGGATCGTCCTGTCGAAGCTTCACGATCGAAACCAGCTCTCGGAAATCTCGCAGTAAGACTAAAGACTTGCAGAGGCACTTTTAAGCCCCGGAAAAATTGCGTTTCGATCCTGAGCTGTTCACAAAGAGCAGCAGACAAGGGCGCTGTGCTTCTCTCCAACCTCACAGCCCGGGCTCTCAGAGTTGCTTCTCGATCAAGAACAATGCACTAACAGTACTACTATACCATACTGCTACTGCTACTCCTCCTCTTGCTGCCACTACTGCTGCTGCTGGTACTACTACTACCACCACCACCACCACTACTACGACTGTTACTACTGCTACCACTACTACTACTACTACTACGACGACGACGACTACCACTACTACCACTACTACTTCTACTACTACTACTACTACCACTATTTATTTATTGAACGCTGTGCGAGCGGGCTCTGCACATAGCGGGCGATTGCCGCGGTGCACTCACTTTGGTGTGAAACTGACTCAGACCCTATAGCTGATCAGCCCAGGTCAGAAAGACCGATGAGAGAGCTTTTGCGGCCTACAGGCTTTAAGCGAACTGGCAGAGATCAGCCAAAGCTATTTTGCAGGCTGCAAAATATCGAGCTCCAGCTTGTTGTGACGTACCTGATGTCGGGATATGATCCTCGTGGTGCATGCTGGCAGCAATGCGGTTGCGGCAGCAGCTCCGCAACGGCCTTGCGTCGGGAGGCCTGTAGCACCGAGCTCCCTAAAAGCAACCCCTCTCTCCCGGCCCGGGAGAGGGGGGTTGCCTTGAGGCCGTTTTCAGGTGGTTATCCGACGACGCGCACAGCTGTAACGTGTCTGGCAGCAGGCTTGGGCATGTTTTTCCGACTGACAGCGGCGGCATCAAGCAGAAGGGCTTTCAGTCCGTCTTGGAAGAGACACGAAGAAACAGGCATTGCCTCCGCTGCTACTTGCGCATTCTGCCATTGGCACCATATGTGTCAGGTAGGACTCACTGATGCCAGGAGCGGCTGCCACTGGCCCCAGAGTCTGAGCCAGCTCAGCGTTGGAGATGGCATGCAGGGCTCTGCCTGACCGCTGCTTGCCGCCGCCAGATGTCTGGCGTCGAGTGTCGACCCCAAAAGGCTCGGAAGGCTCTCCCATTTGTGAATCCGGAGCTAGGGGAGAGGTGGTGCGACCATGTTGGTGGTCTGGGCTGTGAATCTTATCAGCCATGCTGGGTCAGCCTTAAAAGCTGCGGGTAAGCCTGCGCATGCCTAAAGCATGCTTGGCCTTGACGTGGGGAGGGCCATGCCCACCTATTGTGGGGTCCGGCCTTCCCACGCACAGGCACCCTATTGGTGCACGCGTTCCTAGTCGGGGAGGGCCAGCACTCACCCCTTGAGGGTGAGTCAGAGTCACTCCTGTCTTCTCAAGAAAAGGAGGTAGCAGTCTTCCATTACATGTTTGCGATCTGAGGCAGAGGCCGGGTATGGGCGGGTGGCGTCATCACCCACATATAGTACGCCTCCGTTGGGATGAATCCAGAAGGACCGGTAGTGCCCGGTGTGTATGTCAGCACCTTTGTGAAAGACTCCCGAAATGACTGCGTACTGGTGCCATTGCCGGACCTGTCCCTCAGTCCAAGACGGCAGAGAGATGTGCCTGCGCAGGTCTAACGGGGTTCGTCGCTTTGTGCCATCCATCCATCGAGCAACAGTGACTGGTAAGATGTCTGGGGCCCATGACAGGGCGCGCTGGAACATGTGGTTGTACCAAGCCGTACAGGCCTGCTGCAGTGTGCGACAGGCGGAGGAAAGCGGCAGCAGGAGCGGCGTGAGACCATCGTCCTCACTTTCCGGCACTCCATTGGTGCGTCCCTCCCAGCGAGCTGGTTGCAGAGTTCCCGTGTTGTGCTCTACCAGATACGTTGCAAATTCGGAGGCGTCTTGTTGACGGCCATCGAATCGCCATCTTGGCACTAGGGACCGGAGAGCGAAGAGGCTTGGAGGATTGATGGGCCTCGCATCCATTGGATCCGCTTCCGTGCTTGTGCAGTGTTGAACCAGTGGTTCCAGCTCCGCTACATTGGACGCAGAGTCAAGCGCCGCTAAGAGGGCTTGAATGGTCGCGTTGACGTAGCATGTGTTACCCGAGTTCAACATGTGCCGCATACGAGAGTACAGGCCCGGCGGGAGAGTGCTGCCGGCGGCACCTGTCGCTGCCATGGCGACAGGTGACGATGAAGCCACGGCAGCTGGCTTGTCTGCAGCCGCGAAAAAACCACTAAGTGACATTGTCACCGCGGTCTTTGGATGAGGTTTGGAACATTGTTCCCGCATCTTGTCGGTGCCTTGTACCTTGTGCCACCCAAGCAGGACCTGAAACAGGACAATGCACTGCTCCGGGTGCTTGCGTTTGTCATATACCTGCAGCTTACAGAAGGGACACGGGTGCCCCTTGATCATCTGCACTGAATATGCCCTGCAAAGCTGAATTGCTGCCGGACCGTCACGTTGCCAGGCCAGTGCATGGGCCTGTCTGTGATGATTTTTCATCTTGGTGTGGTCCGGGGTCCAAAAACCGCACAAGATGCACCGATGTTTGAGCTCCTGAGCTTCGGGCTGGGTGGCAAGGGCACTGAGTCGGTTGCTTGGCGAGCTCTGCACCTTAGCTCGGAAGGCCGCCAAGCCCTGGAGGGCCTGACCTTGCAGCTGTTCCTCCGTGGTGAGGGAGATCTGGCGCAGGCGATCCGGCTGCGTGCAGGCCCCGACAAGAGATGGTCGCGTAGGCCTTTCCATTGATGGAAGGCCTTGTCGCATGCAGAACAGACAGGTAGACCATCCTTAGAATGCCGACTGCGATCAAAGGAGGGGGGAATGTACCTCGACACGTGTTCTCGATGCATTCGCGTAACGTGCATGTGTAAGCCGTGTGCAGAGACAAAGCCAGACCCGCAGTGAGGGCAGGAATGAAGTCTCTGCTGCGAGGCTTCAGTAGATGCCGGAAGGTTTTCGACCTCTCTCAGCATGTCCTGCAGGTCCTGTACAACGTGACTCATTTGCGTGACATCACCATATGTAGCTGGCCGTGACGGCTGCCGGTGTGCTTCTGATCTCGTTGCTGAGGGACCCAGCTGGGCCCAGGGGCCTCGCGTCACCGAGGATGCGCTTAGAATGTTCGCCGGCAGGGCTGAGGGGATGGCCTCGGGGTTGCTGGGTCTTTTACACAATCGCTTAAGTCTGGAAGTCATCCTAGCTTGAATTTTTTAGCCACCGGGTCCTGGATTGAGTGCAGACGGTACAGGTCTGCTGTGGGCGTGTGGCTTACATGAGCAGGTTGATTGAGGACTGAGCGTATCTTGTGCGCATACCATCCTCTGAGATGCCTGGCCGTCTCCTCCGTGAGGCCGACTTCGGGAAGTCCCGTGACCAAAGTGGCCCATACGGTGGTGAACCAAACCTTCAGCCTGGCCATGGGCCCCGCGGTACGGCGATTGTAAACGAATCGCTTAACCTGCTGGAGCTTTTTGGCAGCCTCTGCTATGCGGAAGCGCAGCGTCTGCATTTCAAAGTTACCATAGGAGATTTGGATGCCCAGGTACTTGACTTGCGTCTCAAGTCTGTAGGCAGGGAAAGATTTGTGCCTGCCTAAGCGCCAATGCCTCTGTAGCTTGCCCTCCGAGTCGGGGAGCCAGCAGGTGTGTTTCTGAATTATGGCCTCCGCCTCCCTGCCGTTAAGCTTGACGAGTATGGCACATTTGGCCGGGTTGACGCGCAATCCCAGTTTCTCCACCTCCGACAGAAGCTGTAGGATCATCTTGTGAGCTGCGTCCACGTCAGCTTTGCTGCGGATGGTGCGATGCATGGTGAAATCGTCCGCGTATCCTGTGAAGTATTTGCGGACATTGTCCCAGCCAAACGTGTCGATCAACCTATGAAGAAGGCGGCCCGTGAGCACAGAAAACAACGTGGGGGCCAACTTGCAGCCTTGTTTGATGCCCGTGGTGGTTTCCACGTCCTTGGAGGCCCCCTGAGAGTGAAGCCTGTACTTGGACCGATGATGAAGGCCATGTATGAGCTTCTGAAGGGAGGGGTCCGCGCCCAGTTCATCGAGCAGGGACAGAATCTCACTGCGAGAGACAGTGTCGAATGCCTGTGAAAGGTCAAGAGCGAAAGTGATGCCGCCGACTAGACCCACAGGACATTGTCCCCGCTGTTGATCTGCTCGGGTGAGATTCGCATTGCGACAGAGTTGCCTGGCTTCCCTCAAGTGCTGAACCACTCTACTCTGCGCGTCAGAGAGACCTCTCCCAGGGAGGTACGCAAACTGGGGCAGTGGCTTCATGTACGGCACTGTGAGAGGCTCCAGGAGCTCCTTGGCCGTGCCCGCCAGTCCCTTAGCATCCGGGCGAAGGATGCCCAGTGGCCTTAGTTGGGAAGGCTTGTCTGCCGGTTTACCCGGTTTTGGTATGAGGCAAAGATCCGCGCGTGTCAGATCGTCGTCCAGGGACTGGTCCTGCGCCAGACTGGAACAGTACTGCGAAAGTGCTTCTGAGACCGGCTGAGCGCAAAGTTTCCAGGCTGCGGCCGGTGCCGCTCCTTTTGGAACTGCCTTGCCAGGTTTGATCGAGGCAATGTGCTTCGCTAACTTGGTCTGTGGCAAGCGGGGCAACAGTCCCGAGTCTGACGGAAGCTGTGGATGCGCCGCGAAGACCTTGGCTGCATACTGCCCCAGTTCATCCAGTTCGTTCGCGGGACTGAGCAGGAAGCCCTGCTCGTCCTTGAGCTGTGCTTTCAAGGCCGGTTTCCACGGACGGAGATGCTTGAGTGTCTGATATGCAAGGTGCTGGTCGCCCTGGCTCAGAGCCTGATCCACCTCAGCAAGAAACCGCTTTGTTTGGCATTTTCGAGCCTGCTTAACCGCTTGTTTATGCTGCTCACACAGGGTTTGTCGGGCCTCATCATCCGGCGATGACTCTGCCCTGGGGTGAGCATTGCTCCCACGTGCAGAGCGCCACATGCGTCTGGCTATGCGCGTTTCCGGACTATCTGGCATTGCCACCGGGGTCTTAGGGAAAAACCTAGATGTCGCTTCGCCAAGGAGACGATCCCAAGACGCCGGCTGCATGTCCGGGGTGAGGCGTGCTTTGACCCATTCGAGCATTTGCTGGGCTGGCAACGTGTTGTCCCTGACAGCTGCTTGCAGGGCAGCAGAGTCGTAGTGATGTTGCTGTAGCTGAGGAGCAGGCAGGTTCCAGTGCCGAACTGGCTTGACAGTGGCACTTATGGGCAAGTGCCCGCCTTTTTTCCAGCTGCCCAGCGGGAAATCCGCCAGCGGCGTAGAGGCTTTGGCATAGCCACCAGCAGAGACCTCCCTCGTGAGCACAAAGTCAATCTGAGTGCGCGTTTCCCCTTGCCAAAATGTATGTGTCGGCTGAGGCCTCCACGTGTTGAGAGCAACTAAGCGATGATTGAGTAGAAAGTTGGTTAGCTCTGGCTCGTCGGGCCTCGGTTCTTGTGGGCAGATGGTCCCGGGACCTACCAGCCTAGGCTGCTTGTGTAAGGAGCTATTGAAGTCTCCTGCCAGGATGAGCGTGTCTCTGTGCGGCACTCGCTGCACGCATCGGCCGAGAGCCTTCAGGACGTGCGCTCTGTCCTGACGGTTAGTCTGCACCTGCTTGGACGGGGACCAAACGTGTTGGTAGACAGCAACTAGCGTCATGCGGGCCCCATGCCAGTCAAACCTGACTTCCAGGGCTCTGCCTATGACATGTTCCTGCCAGCGCACACTCTTGGGCAGGATGTGTGGGGACAGGAAGACCATGACCCGTCCGCGCGAGTTGTTGAGGGCTCCTTGCGGGGTGGGGTCGTCTTATCGTCAGTAGGCATTGCCTCTGCAGGTGGCTGTTTGTGGGCCTTGCCCCCGCGTTGCTTTCGCCTAGAGGCTTTCGGATCAGCCGCCGATGCAGACGAGACGCAATACCAGCCTGCAACACTAAATTCGGCCGTGGCTTGCCAGTGTGTCTCCTGCAGGACTAACACATCGCAGACGAGTTTGGCCTCAGTGGAGAGCCATGACTTGACTTCCGACCATTGTTGCTGGCCAAGATGGCCGGCATTCCAGGACAGTACTCGGAGGGGCCTGGTGGCCTGACCTGCCCGAGATCGTGGTGCAAAAGACCGCTTGGGGCCAGGCTGTGGCGGGCAATTGCCCATCCGCCTAAGAAGAGCCGGGGTCAGAACCTGACCTCGGTAAGAGACAGGCTGGTGGCTGGCAGCCACCTGTCGGCAAACATGCTTGAAAGAATTCTTCCTGATCTGAGAATAATTGTGTGAGTGCACTGGGAGCAGCGCCATCCGCTATTTCGTCACAAGGCAAGCCTAGTGACTCCCTCCACCACGCGGCTAGTGGAAACCCTACCGCCTGCCCAGTGGGCCCGTGTTGAGACAGGGTACTGGGTCCAGGAATTGGGACCTGGCGGCTCAGACGCAAACTGTTGGCACATGGCACATGGATCAGCGTGAGGAACCAACCCTTAGTCGTTCGGAGAGAGGCCTGTTTGAGACCTCTAGCAACGCAAGGTTGGAATCCAGAGCCTGTTCGAAAGCCAGCGCGAAACTTCCAAAACGTCTGAGCCGTGGCGGCTACTACTACTACTACTACTACTACTACTACTACTACTACTACTACTACTACTACTACTACTACTACTACTACTACTACTACGACTACCACTGCCATTACCACTACCACTACCATACCACTACCACTACCACTACCACTACCACTGCCACTGCCACTGCCACTGCCACTGCCACTGCCACTGCCACTGCCACTGCCACTGCCACTGCCACTGCCACGACCACGACCACGACCACGACCACGACCACGACCACGACCACGACCACGACCACGACCACGACCACGACCACTACCACTACCACTACCACTACTACTGCTGCTAAGAGCAGGGAATAACCTTGTCCTGACAAGCCATCGCGTGTGCACCGTGTGGAGCGGATGGCTGCTCTAGCACCTACGAAACGTAGCAGATTTCTGGAGGTCGTTCGGAAAACTTCCGAAGAACAGAAAACAGTCTTTGTCTTAGCCAACAAGGCATGGACATTCCGACCCTGAGATGGCCCGCTAAGGACCAAGCTGACCCCAGAGCTGCATAGCTTCGTGCTCAGACCTGCACAAACCAGACATTCTCCACTGGGAACTAATAGGCATTCCACTAGAGCGAGCTGGATCTCAGCCTCTTCCTCCAGCCACCTTCACCTTCGTCGTCGACGTCCATGTTGTCACCCGTCGCCTGAAGAGGGCTGACGTTGAAAGTACTCTAACCGTGTTTTGCGACTGGGTTGTCCGGCAATGGATGACAGCTTTCTGGGGAGAGATGCTACGGGTCATAGCAGTTCGCTTACAGAAAGCCACCATCTTGTACGCTCCCACGCAATTGTTCCACATTTGGTTGCAACCAGGAAGACATGTAGGACTGTAGAAGCTGGCATCAAGCGTTTTTGGTCGACAGACTTGATCCACTGTGAGGCCACAGCGGATTTCCTGCCGGCAAGGCGTCTTATGCACCCCTGTCTGTTCTGCGCGAGCACCTTTATACGACTCTCCACCATGTTCCTGCCCTCCTCTAACGCCCTGTATCACTCGGCACACGAAGAGGACAGGCCTCCTGTACTGAAGCAAGAGCCGTCGGCGCAGCATGCACAGAGCTGGCTCCACCGCGGAAGCCCTGCAACTGCTGGTGTGCATGGCCAGAAGTCAAAGTCAGAAGATCGCCCGCGTGCCTCCAGCTTCATGTCGTCGACGTCGTTCTGCGAAGGATCTCTGGGCTTGCCTCTCCACGCCAACAAGGCTCTCACATCACCAGTCAAATAGCAGGGAAAAGCTGCTTGCCTGACTCTTCTTGAGCTTGAGCACCTTCCAACTCCTCGAGATGCGGCTCCGTCGAAGAGAATCAAAACTACACTGGCTGCAACAGCGGTCACCTCCCTCCTCGCCAAGAAAAGGAATCATTACAACCCTTGAATAGCATTGCAGATGTGAGCGACGACGAGCTATGGACAGCGACGTGAACCCTCACACCCGGCATCATGTGCCACATGCTTCTTCCACACTGCGCAATGCTACTCCACCACACATCTTCCACCCGGCGGGGGATGTGCTCTTATTGAACAGCAGAGCCACTACATTACACCCCATACCAAAATCCACCTGACAAACGCGCAACCGGATCCACTACGAAGGACAGTCTCCTGGAGTCGCATGTTGGGCCTCCGTCCGGTTCAGGCTCTCTGCACAACATGAAACACCAACGGCCAGATGGTACAAAGTACAGAGATAGGTCGCTGGCAGCATCTTGTTTTGGTCTGGGCCTGGTGCATCAATCATCGACTGACCTACGAATTCCTGCACCGATGCACTCGAAGCTTTGTAAGTAGCTGATTGTAGTGGTAGCCGACTCTGCCTGCTGTATCTTCCTCCATCGCCGGAGCCTCGTTCTCACTCTCCTCTTCCGCCTGCAGTGTCCGCAAGGCACAGGTGCTGTAGGCGTGGCTGAATGCTGCACTGGGTTTCAAAAGCTTGTAGCGGTGCGGCTGGCTTTTGGAAGTGTCAGTCCGACGCAGTGATTTTAATTCCGATCAATGGCCTGCCCATCCGCGCCCAGCGCCTTTTGATCTGCACCTGCCTGCGAAGAGAAAGAACAAGCAAGTAGCAAGAGCAGGGTTGTTCCGATGCAAGCCACGAACAACAACTCAGTGTGTCGCTGCATCTTGGCACTCACCCAAGGCTTCCAGCCCGCTTTTTGGATCTGCGAGGTGCAGCCCTTGCCTGAGTCTGAACTCCAAATGCTACTCCGTGTTGAGCAGAACCCAAGTCCAGAACGAGCGCTCTGCTTCCCAAGGACCGGGCTCGGCACCAGCTTCCTGCTGATCGCCCATGGCCTTGGACAGCCCACGAAGAAGACTTACACGAAAATACACGGAAGAGCACCAACAAGGTTGACAGTTGTTTTTCTCCTGATTGGTTGTCTCACGGACCCCTCGAAGCTTCAGGTCCGGACATCGTTTCCGCCGTCAGCCTCTCGCAAGATGTCGAGCTTTTGCAGGCGGCGCTCCTTCAGTTCTTTTAGTGCTCAACATCAGGCCCCCGCATGCCATCGACTTTCGACAAGCCTGCATCAGCTACTTGAGGCTGCTAGCATACTGAACTCTGTCTCTGGGATGTTGGGCTGAAGAGGGAAGCCTACGTCTCAACTCATGGTCTTATAAAGCCGTTTCCTGTTGGTCGAATCTGGTCAAGAGGAGAGGGAGCAAACCGGCTTGACTTGCTCAAAACCCGAAAGACCCGTCCTCGTTGGCCCCTGTGTCTGCAGGGCTCGGCTTTGCAGGAGACTTCCTGGCATGTTTACTGATGACGCATGCTGCTGCCGGTCACATCACGTTTGCGCTTCTGCTGCCTCCCCGGGCTGGCGACAAAGGGTAGGCACTGGACGGCATTCAATATCGGGTGTGTCAGCTCTTTAACAATTGCCAGCCCCGCTTCTTGTCGGCTGCGCTTGACTTCTGCGGCTTGGCCTCAGCATGTGCCAAGACAACACATAGAGTCCATTCATCCAAGCTCGATGCACCTCAGAAACCTCTTAGCTGGCAGAAAGGTTCTTATGGTCAAGGAGGCGACGGAAGTCATTTCGGCTGCGTCGCCTTTTGAATCGGTCGCGGTCGCTGTTGAGCCTGCCACAATCTTCTGGCAAACGAAGGCTTTCTTGACCGGGACACAGTCTTGGCACAGGTTAAGATCCATGCCTCCTCGTTCATCTCCAGCAGAAGCTTCTTGCGCGTCCTGTTGAGCCTGAGACCTCAGCATGCTTTGGAAAAGGCTGGCAGGCCAGCTCCGTCCCGTGAAAAACGAGAAATGTCCACAGAGACTGCTGGGCAGCCGGCTCGAAGTTGGCAGCTTCACCTGTGCTTCCTCCAAACATCTGCTCGTCCTCGCACAGACGCGGAAGGAATTGCGTTTGGCGGTTCTACTCAAGGCTTAAGCCCCCTTGAATAGAAAGACTTGGTTGTCCCCAAGCGGGCAGATTTGGGTGATACGTAGCCTAAAGCAGCCTCAAGCAGAACACGGCACCCTGTCGGTATCTGAAGAGTCTGGTGCTCTAGTTCTCGCAACTTTCCAACCGCGGTTTCCCAAGCTTCAGGGGTTGCAATGGCTTCGACACCTTTCCGAGGGAGCAATCCGCATCGTCTCGTGTTCCGTCCTGCTGCTGCTTTTGGGGTGCTGTGGTGTCCTGCAGAAGCCACTTCTTGGTGAGAGCAAGGGGACTGGGCCCTTTGCACCTTGCCAGAAGCTCCAGGATCTCCCTGCTTCAGCCTGAGACCGGGGACAAGCCACAGCAACAGCAGCAACACTTAGTATCCCGTGGCTCTTCACTGCGAGTTCTTTGGCTCGCACGGCTCTTCGGGAGCCTTCGCCTTCTCCTCGGGCCTCTGCCTTTGCTCACGGAGCGGAGCAGCGGACGCAGACACGCAGCGACGAGCTGCCCGGCACTGCCCGGGACTGCCCGGGACTGGGCGCCCGGCGCCTTCGAAGGATCGACGTTTTGCGGCTTCTCACCATCCTGATCCTTCCAAGGTCCCCTAGGGAGGATGCCACCGCTGGCATGTTCTGCCTGTCCTGCTGCTCTTGCTGCTCTTCGGGCTTCTGTTCTCCCTGGACCTGGGAAAAGTTTTACTCAGGAGCTCTGGCCTTCTTTTCAACGCGTCTCAGGAAGTGACGCAGGGCTCCACTCCTTCCTGCCTCGGCCAAGTAGGTTCTGATAGTCTGCGTGCACATCGCAGTACGTTCTGCCAATAAGAGCCGTTGCGAACATATTTAATCTTGCACATAGCAGCATGGAACCAACATGGTTCGGCTTGTTGAGTCGAAAGCTCTTCAGCGCCGGCATCGTCTGGAAGCTTCTCTTCAGGGACCTTGCATGCAATTGTGCCAAGCTCCTCCATCTTGCAGCCATTGCAGCAGCATCCGTACGTCCGTACGAAGACACAGCTTGGCAGCTGACTCCGGGATCAGCAGCATCCAAGTCACCAATGTCCTTAAGAAGCCGAAGTGCGACGTGCGCATGTATTGATGTATGCCCGTAGGCACGTATGTAGATCTATGTGCGCAGCTGTGTAGTTAATGATGCACGAATGCATGCATGCCTGCATGCCTGCATGCAAACTGACACACTTGTCTGACATTTTGTGTCAGCGTGTATGTGTCTGTGTCTCTGCGCATTCTAGCCCCACTCCACGGTTGACAACTTCTATGCTGCGTGCCTCTTCACACTTGCTTCCTTCTGATCCTTCGCCGTCGTCACCACCTTCCCCATCTCCGTCCATATCGATGTCGGACTCCGAGCGCACAAGTTGCTTGCCAGTCTAAACGGATTCGATGTCCGTCAGGTCAGCACAGACATACCCACCAATCCCTCCATGTCCTTGATGAAGTCTGAGTCGGCATCTCCTTCTCCTTCGCCCTGGCCTTCTCCCTCACCTGAGCTGTGCTGAGATGCGCCGTGGACCATGAAATCGCGACACTGGCAGGTCGTGGGGACATCTACGGCCCCTCCGCACTCGCTGTCCATGGCTTTCAGGGCCGGCCTTCACCTTCGCCTTCGCCTTCGCCGTCTGCACCATCGTTCCTGGCTATAGCATAAAGCAAGCAATACCGATACCGATGCACGCACTCGGACCCGCACCCTTGGGGCATTTGGACGTCAAACTGCGCATCCTTGTCTTCAAACTCCGTCTTGTCGGGTTCCTGTGGATCCTGCACTGCTAGCCAGGAGACAGAAACAAAGACCCGCGTCCACGCAATCCCTCATTCAGTCCTGTTCCGGCGCCTCCTTGGCATCGGCCTTGTCGTCCTTTTGATCCTCTAAAGGTGGCTGCTTCTTTGACTTGCCTTCAAGCTGCGAGGCGCCGGAAGGTTTAAAGGTGGTATCGACCACAGACACATGACACGTTGGAACTCAGGCAGGGGCTGTCGTTCTCGTCCTTTGCAGTTGTGTCCTTCAGCACATGCACTGGCTTCAACCACGTCCGACACCACGGCAGAGCTGCTGAACCATGCTGAACCGAAGCCTTCTCACGATGACCTTGCTACATTCACTTTGTCTGTCTGGACGTGTAGACGAGCTAGTCCAGCCAGTCTCGGTACATCTAGTGATTGAGTGCGTTGTGTACAGGTCGGGAGTTGATCCCAGGTCAGATCAAAGCTCAAAGGTTCCAGAAGCTGGCACCTGCGCATCAAAAGAGAAGCAAGTGTCATCCTACCCGTAAGTGCCCTGCTGCTTCGCCCTCGCCCTGCGCTCCATGTGCCTGCGACTAGGCTGAGCAGTTGCAACCATGTGCCAAGTATGCGTGGATTGATGCTGTATGTCTGTATGTGTGCGTATGTATATGCACTCACAGTGGACATCAACATCACCAAACACACACGCGCACACACACACACACTAGCATGCGCACACACACCTCTCTCTCTCACACACGCTTCTTCAACTCTTTCGCACACACACACACACACACTCTCTCTCTCTCTCGCTCGCTCTCTCTCGCTCCCTACCCCACTAGACTTCAAACCCGAAAACCATAAAACCTAAACACCATGTGAAGTCTCAAAACCGTGAACCCGTAGAACCCCTAGAACCCAAAACTCTCTATATCTGAATAACCCTGAGATCTGTTGCAATTAATCACTAGCTCTAAACCGTGCAACCCTGAACCCAAAAACCTGAAACCCAAACCTGTAACACTAAACACCCTGGCACGGCACCCTAAACCCCAAAACTACAAACCCTAGACACCCTGAAGCCTAACATGCCCAACCCTCTTCAATCGCACTTGACTCGCAAAGCACTTGTATCATCTTTTGTGCTTGCCGCGCAGAACTTGAACTGCGGCCGTTAACAGGCTCGCGACTGTTCCGAACAAAAGAGTGTTTATCATTGCCCAAAGGTCAAGTCTCGGCTGCCTTGCTTCGAACCACGAGACAGTGCTGAAACGACCGTTGCTCATATTTGTACCACCCTTCGATCTGAAAGTACCAAGAAGGCGTTGGCCGGAGAGTCCTAGGACTATGCCCAGCTGATTGGCAAGCGCTTGCTGCAGGACTCGATACATGGGTCACTTGTGGTCTGCCAATGTGGCCTTACCTGCAGGATGCAAACAGCATTTCGAAGAAGCCGATCATAGGATTCGTCGCAAGACATACATTTATTTAGGAACAGTGTACAGCTATTCCAGAGCAGTGCAAAAAAACTTAAAAAAAAAAAAAAAAAAAAAAAAAAAAAAAAAAACGTGCAAGTCACGTGGTTCTTGCTTTGTTCGATTCAACTTGCTCCGTTGTTAGGCCTGCTTTCGGCGTACCGAAGCTGAGTCGTGCGAATTCGTATAATTATTTCAGATAACCAAGTCGCTCCGCAGGGCATTGCACATCTGACAACTGAAAATGGAAACTTTTGCAGGTGTATATAATAACAATAATCATAATCATAATAGGGTAAGCAATATGCAGTCTGAACTAGTGTCATGATTCCCGAGGTTCCTGGAGCATGCCGGTACAGCGTGGGGTAAGCAAAACCGTGAGACAAATGCCAGTTGTCAAGACGGGTCTGGCGCCTCGATGTCCTCTTGCGGTCCCGTCTCCTTCTCCTCAGGCTCATCTCCTCGATCTCCAGCAATGCACCCTTGGCACCGAGATCGCTATTCTATAAAACCGCTGGGGCGATCGCCATCTTTCTCATCTTCTTTGTCGTCCTTCCGGCAGATACAGCTTTACATGCAAGCCAGCTGCCAGCAGCCTGCTGCGATTGGGACAGTGATAGCTCCCTTTCTGTCCTCGTCCTCTCCGTTCCATAACTTCTCGTCGAGCATGCCGCCCTTCGAAAGGTCCACATCACCTGCCGTCACTAGCAGTTGCCACCACACGAGAAACAAGCACAGAATCGTCAGCTGCTTCTTGCTTCATGGTCTTGGGCCTGCCTTGTTGACGATCCAGATCCTGCCTCACAATCAGCTCTGAACTTGACGTGACTCTGATCTTGGAGAGGTGTGAAGCTTTGTTTACGCCAGCCGAGCAACATGTGGCACGGCTGGTGACAGCACACTGCCACACTGCTGCAGTATTTCCGCAAACGCGGCTTGGCCAGTGGAATGCTGAGGCAAGAGCTCCTCCTCATTTTCCTTCTCCTCATCTTGCTTTTTGTCATCTTCCTAGAGCTGCTTCATTGCCAATGCCCTCGACAAATCTGAGTAACATTCATGCGCCTCCTGTGGCATGGCTTTTGCTTCCGTGTCTAAGTCGAAGCCCACCTCCCTCGCATTATCCTGCAACCGGCACGGAGCGGCACGGAGCAGCACGGCTATGCACGGCTCATGACAAAAAAAGGTGTAGTGACAGAGCGACAAAGAGTCCTCGCTCGGTTTGGGCTGCTCAGGCTCCGGCCTCTTTGCAGGGACTCGAGAAAAACTCTGCAGAGATGTAAGGATCCACCCTGGGTCCAGTGCTGCTGCTCCTGCTGCTCGTTGCGAGTGCCCTCGAGCTGAGCATCGTCCTGCTCAGGCACAAGCCTCTTAGGCCGGGCCGCCTAGCCGCCTAGCCCACTCTTCCACAGGGGCAGGTGCTCCTCGATCTCGTCCGTAACATCCTTCATGCCCTCACCCTCACCTTCCGAGATGCGGTTGTGTCAGACTACAGCATTAGCACATCAAACGAAGACGTGCTCACTCACTGGTGATGGAACTTTACGAGGGCTCAACTCCGTGTCTATGCTGTGGCAACACGGACTGAACGGAGCAAAGCCGCCATCCTAAGGTGCCAAGGGACCCATGCCAGTCCCAGTCTGCCACTCCGTGCCACCCTCGCCTGGGCAATTAAGTCTCCATCCGACTTCTCTTGATGGCAGGCTTTGCGGAGTGTGGCCTTCACCTTCCCCTTCCTCCTCCTCTTCTTTGGAGTTGAGGCCTTTCTCCTGGACGGAGGGTGTGTGAGACTTGTGAGGTGGTGGACGGAAGCAACAGCATGCAGATGAAGGCTCCATCAGGAAGCATACCAGCCGAAGAAGCTCAAACCTTATCCGACCGAGACTCGTGCCGTCCGTGAATCGGGTTGCATGTTTATGAGGATCAGGCGAAACCTGTGCCGTTGCCAAGGAGGCCTGAAAGGACTACGGTAGACATGGAGCGCGTCTATGACGATCCAGAGTGCTTACCACCATCTGCCTGAAGCCCGCCCAGTAGCAGAGCCCTGGACAGCTGCAGGATCCTAAGCCGTTATTGCAGGCCCACAGTTCAAGCCGACCCGGGCCACGCAAACTTTGCACGTGCCCTGCGTGGTCGAAGCAAAGCAATCAAACATGCAGCGCCCTACACGTACGAGTACCGAGTGCCTCACTGCCTGGTGAAGGGTGCCAGTGGAGATGCAGATGAACTTGGAAGTTGTTCTAGATGCTGCCTGGGCGAGGAAGTGTTGGTACGCTGCATTCACACGAGCAGACTTCGATGAGCAGCCGTGTCGAACACTTTGACAGGCCCGGACTGCGGTGGCTGCTAAGGCATGTACTGAAGAGCATCATGGATCTGTGACAGTGGAAGAATCTCCGACCTTGGGCAATCTTGTCATGCTCTTGGGCAGCCATTGATGCTTAATGATACCTCCTGCTTCACTGAGACTTTGCAGTGAAATTCTCGCCAGGCATGGGTCCGCAACGATTTTCTTGAGAAAGCCGGCAGACAAGCCAGTCGCGAAAGAGGGCACCACACTTGAAGCCTTGGAGCTCTGAAGCCTATGAGCCGAGTCTGAGCCTCCCAGCAAGGTTTTCAGGTGCTTTTCGCGCCCAAGTCCAAGCTGCGGCACAGCAAGGACTTCCTGCAATGAGGGTCTTTGCTTTCGAGCTGGCAGCTCAATATAGCTCAATGCTTGTTGTTCGAGAGCTAGCAGGTACACAGGCAGAGAAAACGGCCGATAGTCCCAGTAAATAGGTGCGTACAGTTCCAAAACACACACAGACAGGGCTGCGCTGCGCTGCAAGAACTCACGGCCTCTGCTTGCTCTGTATCTTCACCGCTCCTGGTCTGCTGGGCAGAGGAATCACATCATCTGACCCAGGTTGCAAAACGCGAAGTGAGCTGAAGTGACGCGACGAGCAGGTATAGTGTAGTCAGTCTTCCAAAAGGGTCTCCCGTCTTTCGGAGCCAAGGGACGTCTTTGTCGCGGCCTTGATGGAAATCGATGGGTCAGAGCTGTACGCCTTCGGCGGCATTCCCGAAATTCCGACACTTCCCGAAGGCTCGCGACGGAGGCCGAGGTCCCTGGTCGGGCCCGGGTTTGGGGCAAAACCTTGAGCATGACTTCCAGCTAGATTTAGTGGGCCGGCCACACGTGCTGATCGAGCACGTAATGTTGCCTGATGAACCCTTACGAACGTAGAAACTTCGGTCAACATTCTGGTGCACTCTGTACTGTAGACTGTAGACAGGATGAAAGTGCTGCTACACAGCACCTCGCGGGCGTGCTGCACTGCCAGGAGGAGCAAGCGCAAAGGCCGCAAAGAGTCTGCAGAAGGAGCCATGGGCGGCTGGAAGCCTGAAGTAGCAACGTCACGAACACCCTGAGGAAACAAGGACAAGAACACGGCTAACGCCCGGCTCATGCTGCGCGCCAGGTCTTGGGGACCTGGGGCTCTGGCAAGCCCGCAGCTGCGTCAGGCTTGACTCAAGATCCTGCGGCTTTCAAAGCACCAAGCGGACCAAGCTCTTAGCTCTCGCGCGCCAGGACACGTTCTGTGTTGAGGGAGCGTCCTGACAGGATCGTTTCAATGATGATGCCATCGATGCAGGAACCTCGTGCTCTTGCAGAGTTTCCCAAGGCATGCGAGGTCATGGCTTCGGGCTTTCAGGACGAAGAAGAGCATGTGCTCCCTCCCCCCCGCCATGCCGACAAGCTCCACGTTGAATCGCAGCTTCTCTCTTCGTTGAGCCACGGCAATAAGCGCGCAACTCTCGAGAGCCGAGGACAAGGCCAGCCCCGCAGCGTTTTCGAGTCCTCTTTTCGCAGGTCACGAAGAAGCAAACGGCAACAAATTGGAGCAGTCTGGTCTGCCTTCTTCCATCTGCTTGCTGGCCGCACTGGCCTCCCACTCTGCGACTTGCAACAAACACTCTGCAAATAGTAGCTTCTTTTTGGAGCTCTGGCTCTGGGTCCAGCAGTTCACGGGCCAGCTTGTGGACGTCGGCACTCACTATGTGGTGTATGACCTTGCACAGGTACAGCAAGACAACTCTTTGTGCACCAGAACAAGATATATAGCCTTATCAGGGTGCATCCGAGGATCTGGAACATTCTTGGCGGAAAACCAAAGCTTCACATTGTCAGCCTGCAGCCACGGTGTCTGCGGTACGCATCAAAGCTAAGCACCGGCGTTGGATCGTGATTCGCCATGGCGGGGCACTTGATCCGTTCCAGCATACCGCTTCCGCGCTTCTCCTTGATCCTTGCCGGGTCACAGACTGGCTGCCAGATGAGAGATTCAAGATGTAAGGCACCCGTCAGCTGGTCCTTCATGCCCTGGATGATGGCAAATTCCCGAATAGCATCCATTTCACCTGACCACAGAAGATCCCAAGACTTCGATGCTTTGGAGCATGTCGCAGGAAAAGGCCTTCCTCCGACATGCCAAACGGATTCTTCTGCATCTCCCAGCAGCCCAACTGGAAGAGGACACCTCTCCTCGGATGATTAGAACTGTAGGCTCCGGCTGAGGACACAGAGTTGAAGCCACTGCCCGCAACTGAGAAGCCCGTTGGTGGCATCCGGCTGACCGCAGCCAGATCTTCCAACTGCCTCAAGAAAAAGGCTCAAAAGCCCCAAACTTGCTTTGTTTGCCACTGGTGACTTGGACACCAGCTGTGCCGAAAGCCTGCCTCCGCCTGTCCTCGCATCACTCCGTCCAGCATGTTCGGATACCTTGGCCGAAGCAGGAAGGCTTGCAGAGCACAGGAGGGACTGTAGGCTGGCAGTCCAAGAGTGCGAGCGGCTAAGCTCCTGCTTCTGCCGGATCAACAGTGGCCTATGTGCACCGTGCAAAACAAACCATTTCGGCATGCAAGAGAAGCGGCACGATGTCTTGAGAGCAATGTTGAGGCCACTCCTGATGCAATCGCCCGTAGCACTGCACGCAATCTCACAGATTACTATGCAAGGAAGCTGCTCGCTTGCTTCGATGCCCCTGAAACAGCTCCTGCCGCCCACGCATGAACTGGGGGCATCCGACGCCGACCGATTTCTCTTTCTCCGTGACCCCGAGAAACTTCCACTGCTCACGCATTGAGGTCACCATCTTCTTGTTGAAGACCTCGGCGGAGCTGCTCAAAGCACGTTGCACTTTGCGCAAAGCGTCGCTGTCAGAGAGTTTTTGACTGCAGCCTGGCAGCAAAGGCATTCCCCCACATCAACATCAGGGCACCACTGGCAAGGCGCTGCCTGCGATTCGGAGTAAACTCACCCTGCTTGCGCTAGGAATACTCAAGAGCTGCCAAGCTGCTCTTTGCCGGAGCCGCTCCTCAAGTTCTCAAGGTAGCCTCCAAGGCTGCGAGACAGAGATAGACAGAGGGTTTGGGCTCAAGGGGGATCTTGCAGCCGAACGGCTGACGATGCCCAAGCGGCACCTGCTGGGACTCGTGAAGTGGTCCAGCCTCCACTCCGCTTCGGTGCATGTGCGAAGCTTCCTGGCCGAGGCCCACACTCGGCGTTCAACACCCAGTCCTTGACACATCTTCAAGTTAAGGGCGAGTCTTTCCACCAAAGCGAAACTGAAGAAAGGCCTCATCAACGCAAGACAGGGCCAGCCAAGACAAGTCTCGTACTCCTCTGCCATTCCGGTCTTCAGAAGATGAGTCCATGTGGGCATCAAGCCGACCATGTTGCGGTGATACCTTCATGACTTTGAATCCAAAGAGAGAACACAGGCCCACCAAGTCCGAAAATGGCTTCTGAGGCCAACGCAACCATTGGCCATCTGTCCTTGGCACCCTCTGCTCCGGAACTTTCACAATGATCACGTCATCCGTCTCACCATGTGGATGACGATCACCTGAGCAATCCTCATCCCCGAAATCCCAAGTCGTTTGCACACCTGCTTGTGTCTGCCGAAAATCCAGACAAGTGCGTGCCTCACATACCTTTCCGTCTCTGAGGCGCTGAAGAAGGCATGGCCATCGCACTTGGAGAACTGTGTCCTCACTTCTTGAAGCACCGCCTCTGCAAAGGCAGGGACTCCCGAGCATCTCTCAAATTCAGCATTGCTGATGCGTGCTAGTGGCACATCTGGCCCTATGCTACGAGCCTGCTGAGCTCAGCTCTTGCTGACCACATTACACTCACTATACCTGATGAATGGCCTCGTCGCTCGGACGAAATGGCGTCCATGCAAAGCAGAACAGGCGGATGCGAGAAGCCTGGCTTGGATGGCAGTCAAGATAGATACTTTTCCCTTCCGAACAGCAATTCCTGTATCATCCCTGAGTGGACTTGTCCACGACATCCCTGCAGAACGGCACGGTCTCTGCCTGGCCTCTTCCCGAATCGCTTCGGGAGCCTTGCAGAGGCCCGAAAAGGCTCAAACAAGCCAACAATCCACCCAACACGAAGAAACAAAAAGAGCGCCGCCTGGCCTGATCCCAAGCAGCAACGGGCTTGATGTTCTGCTGCGAGATGCCGGAAAGGCCAATGGCTCCTGCCAGTGCCAGTGTGTTGGGCTTCGGAAGGGCGGCCCAGATTCTATTTCCGCTTTGAAGCTGCTGACTCGGAGCCACCATGGAGTGGGTCTCTTCGTGTCTGTTCAGCCTTGGAAAGCCACGGCAACCACCCACACGCGCTTCCTCGGCAGACAGGCCGTCGATCCGGGTTGTGACCTCCTTCCGGATGACCATTGAAGAAGATGTCCTAAGTCAAGAGCGCAAGACATGCAGCCCACAAAGCGACCGCCGTCCGCTCTGTCGAGAGGGCTCCGAAGCAAAGCAATGGATTTCGCTCTTGATTGACTCCTGCAGCTGAATCACCCGGTCCGAAGATCGGTAAATACAGCCCGGAGGGTCATGCTCCGCAGTAAATATGGAGCTTGACATCAACTTCCTCAAAGGCAGAAAATCCGCACAGGATGTAGAGCATCCTTGCTCACACGATGCCCCAGCAGTCAAGCCGCTTCTTCAGGTAAGCTGCAGCTTCCAAACACATCTGCAAGTCCATGACCTCACCAACAGGCCGGATATCTTTTACAACTCAAGCTCTACAATCTGCACGTGCCGCCAAAGTAAGGCAAGCGACCTGATCCGTGCCTGATCATGTCAAAGCTTCTGCTGCAAATACCACACCAACACACTTCGGACGTCTTCGGACACTCGGCCAAGGCTGCGGGCCTTTGGGACACTGGTCATTTCTTGGAATCACGTAACCAATTTCTCCGACTGGAACTGTGGTGGATGGCGGCGAGCTGACGGCCTTACTGTCAGGCAAACTCCTTGCGATTCATTTCAATGCTGCTGCACCTGTTGCTGCTGCAGTTCGAACCATGTAGGCAGCGGCCACAGCTGGCTCTCCCGTTGCTGGCGCCGTGCTGGATGTCAAGCCAGCCTCCTGTACGAGCGCCGCATGCTTTCTGTGGCTGAACCTTTCAGTTGTGTTCCGCACAGCTAACCTGACTCGATCTGTCTCCTGCGTAGATGCAGAGGATGTCATAACCGGTAGATCCGCCTCACAGCAGCAAGCCTGATCCTTCTGGACCATTGAGGCAAAGCATCAGCAAGTCCACTGCACCGGCTCACGCAGCCTCCGAGGCCGACAGGAAGCTCGGGGCACTCGGCATGGCCCTTGGCACGTACCCGCACCCCTTGCCCCAACCTTCGCTGCTCTGCGCAAGGGCCGGGGTGCGGCAACTTTGACAGATCGACTTCACCGGCTCGGGGAACTGGCAGGCTGGTGAGCACCGACACCTTGCCAGAAGTGGGGCTGACATCGATGCTTTCTCATTCCCCCATTCGCATCCCGCCTCCATCTGCACTCCGCCCAGGTAAAAGGTCAAGCCGAAGCTAACCTGCGTTCCAAACAATGCTACCCAGTTCACTGTGCCCAGCCGAGGCGGCCGAGGTGCGGCGCAGCACAGGACTCCGCGCAGGCTGAAGCACTCGCCGCTGCTCTCGTTGGCCGGCTTCCGTCTCCTGTGGAAAATCGAGCGCAGGGTGGTGCTTTCTCCTTCTATGAGGACTCATGAATCCACTTCCGGGGCGATTGACACAGAACGTGGACACATTGATTAAACCTTCGTGGAAACAAATCCGGAGACGGCGAAAGGTGCGAAACCCCGGCCCTGAGGAGATGTGGCACATGTGGAGCATGTCCAAAACACCAGGCCTTGTCTGCCTTCGTCCAGCCGCATTTGCAGCCCGTGACCTGTCACACGTGAACAACATCGCCGACAGGTCCCACATCGCTCTGAGGCGACTGTGCAGCCGAGAAGCTTTGCAGGAATCTCGGCCGGCTGCTGCTCCACGGCCAGCAAATCTGGGAAGCACTGAAGTCTTCGCTAAAAACGCGCCTTTGAACGACCAACTGACCTTTCGATTCTAGCAAGGCAAGGCGCCATCTTCGGATGCAGTTGCTTCCTGTGGATTTTCCACCTCCAGGCCAATCGCCATGGCATCATCGCACGGTCGCCAAGGCTGGCTGCTATAAGTTCCTACACTTACATCTACCTGCTCTCCTTCGCTTAGCCATGTTTACCAATGCTTCATTGCCAGGCAAACAGAGAACCTAAACAAGAGCCATAAAGGCAGGGCCTCGCACATGTTGGAACGCTGCTTGCAGCTACGAGCTGTATGGGCTACAACGGGCCGCGCAGGCTTGCAGCGGCAGTTGCAAGCACTTTGCCTCTTTGGGCAAGGCTTGAGTCGTTAGCGACGCTGCGATCACGAAGCCAATGCAACGAGCTGTTTGCCAAGACAGGCTACCTAGCAACATGTAGCGACCCTTGGAGCAAGGTCTAGTCAAACCCGCTACGGAGCCTCTAGACTCTAGCAGCTATACGTGAACAGCACTTTGACAAAGCACAGCCTGCCTTCTCAATTAGTTTGCGGAGGAAGCTTTCCTGGAGCTCTTTTACAACGGGGAGAAACTCGGTTCGAAGCTACGGGGCTCTCCGGCCATGCTCTCC